TGGTTACAAGTGGTATATCTCATTAGAATGGAATTTGACTGAAAAAGTTGTCAGTTTCAGAAATGAATCTCGAATTTTGATTAGTAACATCTAAAAATTTTCGGAGCAATGGAAAAAATCTGAAAGTGATTTTCGTGGACTGAGAATCTGACTATTTTATCACTGAAAAAAATCAAAATATCATACCGTTCTGTCCGGTATTGTACATCTTTGCATAACGCATTGTGATAATACTTTAAAACCTGTAATAGAAGGTCCTCCAATTTTTAACTTTGATGTGAGCCAATTTTTCTCTGTTTCTGTAAAAGTTATAAACGAGTTTTGAACTGGTTAGTTATTCGTCATAATATCAGAACTATTTTTAAATTCAATTTGCACATTTTTATATATTTTGCATATGAATTTAATTGAGCTCAAAGTTGACGGTTTGGGTGGACTTCCATTTGAGCAAGTGCGGTATCGTAATTGCTCAAATGGTATGGAGGTAAATAAAATAACTGAACGTTTTCTGAAAAATTCGAATACAATTATCATTAAGACATTTGAGATTACGGTAGCTGAATAAAAACAACAGACAGGTGGCTCTCTGATGATTTCCAAAGATATGTGCATACTCTCTTTTTATTATTCTTGCTCTGTCAGATCATCAATTATCTAATAAAGTTCATTAACTCATCGGCATCTTCTTTTTTCAATGTCTCCATCGAACTCCCATACCCCATTTTCCATCCATCAATCAATCGAGATATTCCTGCGCAGAAAAAGACAACAGTTGCTCTGTGTCTGAGGAGCGGCTCCCTTTTGAGCTCTCATTTAAATGACCAATTGAAGTTTCGCCGAGTTTATAAACTGAGAAAAGGGAAGAAGAGGAAAATGAGTCAACACGTGTTGGGCACCCGATAATTTATATGCATGGCACTAGGTCTCTGTCTGTCAGGAATAAAAAGTAAGGGAACGAAAACTTCAGGGACATCAGGGGGTTCCCAGAGTTTGTGAAAGTGATTATACGGTGATTACATGGTGGCAAAAAGAGGAACGAGAGACAGCTGGACGAGAAGACGAAACTGGATTGCATACACTACTTCTCTTTCTGATGAAATGCCGCAGCAACTTCTCACTCTTTTTTATTGTTCTTTGAAAGAGGATTTGTGACAAGTGATTTTAAGTTTTCAAGAAGAGAACACACCTAGTATCTGCCAGGAACACGCCCAACAGAAGTGAGAAAAGAGGGCTTTCATTCACAAGAAGACATTCGATTTCTGAAACTTCTAAAAATTTATGAAGGTTCTTTTCTGTTTTTTTTTGGAATTTGTTTGTTGAGAAGGTAGAAAGGTGATTTTGTGGAAATATTATTTTTGGGTCTTGAAATTTTGAAAAGGAGAAAAAAGTCTGGAAAGGTAAGAATGTTTCCTGGAATTAACTGCGTTTTTAGAACTCTTTGGATTTCATTTTAAGAAATGAATAACTTCAGAAAATTTCTGAACTTCTGAATTTAACCCTCTGAATTTTCAAATCATCATTATTCAGAACTTGAGAAATTGTGAGCTTTCGGAATTCTGAATGTTTGAATTTATATTTTACGCATTTTCAATATTCCGACTACCCAGACCTTTCAGTTTTCAAACTACCGAATTTCAGAACTTTCAAGTTTTCGAATTTCCGAATTTCTGATACTCTAAATTTCCGAATTTCAGAATTTTCCAATTTGAAAATTTCCTTTTTTTTTGAAACATCAAATTCAAAAACTGGAGAATTTCTAGCCTTTTTATCTCTCGAATTTTTTTCCGAATATTTAAGTTTGATGACTTCCGTATTTTTGAACTTCTAATATTTCGAACTTCCGAACTTCTGAATTCCCGAATTTCAGAAATTCAGAATTTGAGAGTTAAAGAATTAAACAATTAAAGAAAGAATATCTGATTTTTCGAATTTTTTAATGTAGTTTTTGAATTTCTAAGTTTTTGAACTTTCAAATTTCTGAATATCTGAATTCCCGAATCTGAGACAATCTATCTTTCGAGAGTATTTCTGAATTTTGGAATTTCTGATATTCTAATTTAAACTTTTTTTCATTAAACTTTTGAGTAATTCGTTTCAGAAGCTTTTGACAATTTTAAATATTTTGGGTAATCCATTTCTGTTCAATACTTTAAGTTAGACCAAATTTTTATTCAAATTTCTCAGATTTTTTGGGTTATGGGAATCAAAATCAGGTCTCAGAATTGTCATTGTTCTTCCAGGTTTTCATTCTCATTTTTTGTTGAAATTTATTTCACAGGTTCATAGAATTGTATTACGTATGAACTTATAGAATTCTATCATCGTCATGTTCTTTATCTTCAACTGATGCGCTGTTGACTGGTCGATTGGAATGCCTGGAATTTATAATTAAAGTCACCGTCTGCTGTTGCTGCCCGCTCTTTTTCCTTGTCTTCTAGCTTTTCTTATTCTCTTCATTTCTATTTCCAATTTCCCCCTAACACCATTTTCCATTCTGAACGAAAGCTCTCATTTCATTAAAAAAGGGAGCGGAAAGAAGGCTCATTTAACTCGTAAAACCCTTTTCTGGACATCGTTTTTTCTCTCTTCTATCCTCTTTTCTTGCTCAATCCAAAGTGCTCCAAAACGGAGCCACGAAGCCTTTCTCAGAGTGTCTCAGTCTCCTCCAAACACGCCATCTCATATCGATTTCTCTGCGGCTCTTTCTTTTCTTTCCAAACAAAGTCAGAAGGGGTCCCCCGAAAAAGAAGAGGACCACAACTCCATTCTCCTATTTTTCGAAATTGTGTAAACCACAACATGTCCTTTTTCTTTTCTTAAGATTTTCGGAATCCAATTTCTTCTGGACCCCATTTTCTCTGTGCTCAAACGAGAAGATTTACGGGAGCTTCAACGCTAGAAATCAGAAAAAATTTGCATTCCATTTTCAATTTCCATTTCGTAAAACTCAATTCAATTCATCTGAATTCGTAAACGATGGAATTAATGGAGCGCCCCTCCTCTCGTTTCGTCGACGTTTTCAATATTTGCTCCGATGTCGTTTTCTTTTTTGGCCTTCTTTTTCCTCTGGGGACAGAACCATTGGATGTTAGTTGTGGCTTCAGTTGCGAAATCGTCATATGTTGGCTCATTTTATCGGTTTGACGTAGTTATTCCAGAATAACTCCTCTTTGCGTTTTGCGAAGGAGAAAGTTAGTTTTGAACTGGAAGTTTGAAATTCATGAATATTAAAAGGCTTTTCTTTGTGAAAGTTTGATTGCTTTTGAGTGGTTGTTTTTTAAATGTGATGTGAAATTCCTATTGCTTAATTTTGTAAAAAAATTTCAGTATTGGTTTTCAGTTGATTTTCTGCATTTTCAGGAGTCTGGAGCTCGGCTGTCAAGTGTCTGATCACTCTGAAAACTTTGGAGGGTGTAAAACAGAAATTGAAAACGTTACATTCTCAGAATTCCTAGTTTTTCAGTTTTTTGCTATTTCTTCTCTGAAAGACACTCCTTTTCGGCCCATGTTTGTTTGAAAAAACTGTCTTTCAGACACCGGTGAATAGCTGAAAAACTAGGAATTTTCAAAAAATTCTGTTAATGCAAAGTTTTCAATATAGGTATGTTTTGCACCACCTGAAGTATTCAATAGGATTGGAATCTCGACAGCCGAGCTACAGACTCTTGAAAATGCCAAGATTCAACTAAAAAAATACGTGTTATATATCTTATTGACCGGTACTGTACATTTTTTCTTAGAATCGTCTTTACATATAAAGTGCTACATGGGTCTGTTGGTCCCCCTGTTAGTCTGTGGATTTTTGAAAAGCTCGGAGAGTTGATATAGATTCACATGATCATTTAACGAAAAGTAAGCAGCAGAGAGACAAACCTGTAAAAAGTCAAAACCTTGAAAATATTCTGCTGAAAAACATCACTGTTCATAATTGGTATGCTCCCCCATCCTTGTCACTTCCCTTCTTTCCTTACCACACTCTCCTAATATCCATATTTAGTATCCACCACCTGTGCAGGCTTTACAATGCCCCCTTTCATTAGCAACACATTGCCTCATTTTGCCCATTCTTTCTCTCTTAATTAACCAACGAGTTCTTGCCATTTTCCACCGGAAGTGTTCATTTCTACCCCTCTCAAGCATCCATCCCTCATTTCCTTTTTCTTTCGGATCAAGCATCCACTTCACACATTTGCCAAGAGCCCTCTTGTCAGAGTATTGACTGTTTGTATTTTTTCCTCTATAAACTGTTATTGATGTTTCTGGAGTATGCTTCTAGCTAATTAGAAAGTCTTCAGGGTCCTGAATAGCTCCATTCAAGAGTTTTTTTTGTGTTAGAGCCCCCACAAGGGAATAATCCATTAGTTGTGTTTTTGTTTTTTTTTTCTGATTTTAACTTGAAAACATCATTTTTCATTGTAATCCTTCGTTTTTTGTCTCAAAGAATCAACTATTTATTATTTACCAAAAAACGTAAATTGCTATAGGTACCTGGTCATTAACGAATAAAAGTCAATTGTCAGCTTACCTTTGGAAGGAAAAGGTCAACTTTGAGCCCATATATCCGATTTCCTGTAGAAGATATCAAAAGGTTATCAACTAATAAAATGTTTATAATAATATCTAACATATTTTTCCAGTGGATCACTTTTTGATACCTTCTGCGGGGAATGAGATAAATGGGCTCAAAGTTGGGGGTATTGGTGGCGCTCTATTAGAGTGTTAATGGTAACAGTGATCTACTTCTGACACGACTTTTCTTTTGTTCTCTGTCATTAATCTTTATTATGTCACATAGATTCTAGAAACGCCTTTTACTATGTATTTCAACTCTCCATTTCATACAGATAACAATCTACTCACTTTCTTCTTCAACATAAGCTTCTTCTTCTCTTTTCCGCCCCTCTAATCCTCTCATCTCTCATTTAGTGCCCTTCCGCGCGGAAGGAATGCACATTGCTCATGAATTTCCGATCGTTCTGCATCTTCTTCTCCCTAAACACATGTATATCCGCACTTTTTCATTAGGTGGCCTCCTTTATAAACACGCTCTCTCTCTCTCTCTCTCTCTCTCTCTCTCTCTCTCTCTCTCTCTCTCTCTCTCTCTCTCTCTCTCTCTCTCTCTCTCTCTCTCTCTCTCTCTCTCTCTCTCTCTCTCTCTCTCTCTCTCTCTCTCTCTCTCTCTCTCTCTCTCTCTCTCTCTCTCTCTCTCTCTCTCTCTCTCTCTCTCTCTCTCTCTCTCTCTCTCTCTCTCTCTCTCTCTCTCTCTCTCTCTCACTCACTTTCTACCATCTAGTTATTATGTGTTTCTTTTCTTCTGTTGGGAGCGAAAAGAGACAACCAAATTAAATATTTGAGTTTCTTTTTGGGAGGGCGGACGAGCAACGAACTTTTTGTGAAATAGTAAAAGTAGATGGTTTTTTGTTTGGTGAATTAAGACGGAAATTGGAAAAAGGAGAACGAAGGAAATTAGAGAATCGGTTTGCTGGACTGGGAAATATTTTCTTTCTGAATTAAATGTTCTATTGGTGTTCGAGCGTAAATATTGTAAATGCTCTCAAAGAAGTATGAACTGTGAGCTCACATATCTCAGTTCCTATAAGAGATATAAAAAATTATCAACTGATGAAGTATTAGCCATGTTATCAATAATATTTTATCAATTGACAAAATTTTTATATCCCTCATAGGAATCGAGATAATTAAGCTCGAAGTTGACTGCTTGGGTAGGCTCTTATTAGAGTATTTCCAGTATGACATACTAAAGTTTTCAAGCCTTCTGGTTTTTGATTAACTCAAAAATTTCTAGATTCCATCGTTACTTTTCTTTTTATTCGCTTTTGTATTGGTAACGCTAGCTACAACTTTATTCCAGGATCTCAAAATCTGAATTTCTGATTTTCCAAAAAATTCAAATCTTTGAATCGTTCCGGTTTTCAGGGTCTTGCAATTTTAATACTGTGAGAACTGAAAGGTTTCCGACTAGAATCTCAAAACCTCAAACTATCGAAACTTTATAATCTTATAATTTGAACATTGAAGCTTTCTGAATCCTGAAATCTGCAGATTCCAAATGATTCTCAATTTTCAAAAAATAGAACTTTGAAACCCAAACCTGCTCACTTATTACCTTCTGTCCAGTCAGCTGACCAACCAGTTTCTATCTCTTTTTCAAAACGGTTTTTTTTTTCTAGCAGCCCTTCCTCATCGAAAATTTCTGACTATATACGATTTCCCGTATCCACTCATCCATTCACCAATTCAATTTAATTCTCTATTCTCTAATTCTCCATTTCCCTTTTTTTTTTTATTTGCTGCTTTCTTTTTTTTCTTTTTTTGTCTATGTCTCCGTTTCGACAGTCCATTTTATAGTTCTAGATTGCTGTTTTATATGTGTCTCGATTCTCTTTTAAAGTTCGAATTCTTTTTTGATTTACGGTCATATCGTAAAAATTCGGGAAAGAAATGGTTCCTATAGTTTTATGCTGTCAGTCTGTGAGTGTGTCACTTCGAATTCTTGTCCTTTTTCTTCCTTATCACATTTCAATGATATCGCTTCTTTTTCTCTCTCTCTCTCTCTCTCTCTCTCTCTCTCTCTCTCTCTCTCTCTCTGTTTTTGTCGTCCTTTGTTTCTTTTTTATCATTGTTTCAACTATTTTTCAATTCTTCAGACGTCACGACGACGACGTCTACTGCAATGAACAAATCACACTTGGGAACGGTGAGTGAATTTGAACTTTTGAATATTTTGTCTGAAAGTTTTTCAAAATTTTTGAGTGGTCAAATCTTTTATCATAGTTTTGCTTATCAATAAAAGTACATAATCCTCTCCGATTAGCATAAAAATATAGATCAATTTCGAAAGTTCAGAATGGGATTGATTTGAAAATAATAGTATTTAAAAAAAAGGGTACTGAAAAAAACAACATGAAAAGACTGGTTTTTTGAAGTGGTAGGAACCAAATGTAGATTTTTTGTTCTCTCAAAATTTTCATCAGGTGTCTGGTTTCTCACTTTGCTTCTCAACCAGAACAAAGAAATCATGAGATCTAGGTGATAAAAAAAAATCTGACAGGTTGATGGTTTTTGAACATGTGATAATAATACAAGTTAGTATGGGAACAAGCAAGTAATTTTTCCTTCATCCGAAAATGAACTTTTTGGTGGAAAATTGTTTTTGAAAAAATGACAGTATTTTTTACTTGAGGAATCTGGAATAACTACCGTGAATTCACTAATAGAAGTCCACCCTGTGCACTTTGAGCTGAATTATCTCGGTTCCTATGAGAGATATCAAAGTTTTGCCAAGTGACAAAATAGTTTTAATATTATGATAAACATTTTAATCGTTGACCACTTTTTGATATCTTTCACATGGACCAAGATATATGGGCACAAAGTTGAAAACTTGGGAGAGAGGGGAGGGTCATTCTATTAGAGTATTTACGGTAAATTTCACCACATAAAAGTCATATATTTTTAAAATTTTTTGAGAAAATGGCCTACTTCGAAAACTAGGAGAAGCGATACAGAGTTTTCGAAAAGTCTGGAAAATTCTATAAGAAAGCCAAACAAACAATATACTGTACTTCCTCTAATTTAAGCCTACCAAAACAGTCAATTTTGAGCTCAATTATCTCGAGTTTTGTGAAAGATATGAAACATTGGTCAATTGATAAATTGTTCATCATAATATCAGCATTATTTTACCCGTTGGCGAATTTCCTATATTTTTCACCAAAATCGAGATAATTGAGTTCAAAATTGAGTGTTCGGGTGTATTATAGGTTATACGGTATCCACACTGCCAAAAATTTGCCATTTTACTGTCAAAATTAAATTCTTCCCCGTTAACATTGTCAGTGGAAATTCAAGGAGTTGTCGTGAATTTTCAAACCTACCAAAAACAACAAAAACGCAGACAATTCTCACTAATCTATTCACTTCCTCCCCAGATGCCAATACTTCCGAACATCACTTTCTCTTTTCCCCCGATTCCCTTCACTTCCCTTCCTCATTTTTTCTCTTTCCATTTCAGGCGGACAATCCTCAAGAAGTGGTCACAGCCCATGATATCGGACGTCTTGTGGATGTGGTAAATGTTGGAAAAGGATTCCTAAGATATGTTGGACCAATTCACGGGAAAGAAGGATTATTCTGTGGAATCGAATTACTGGAACCTAACGGAAAACATGATGGATCCTTTCAAGGTTCTTATCCACTTCTCTATTTTTTCTATCCCACTTTTCAGGTGTTTCTTATTTTATCGCGACTCCGCAGCATGGAATATTTGCTCCAATATTCCGAGTGACTCTCGATGCGGATGAACGTCCGAAACAGCAACCGCCACCGAATCCATCAAACGTAAGTCCTTAATTGTTTCCTTTCTACACCTTCTAACATTCTCTCTCCTCATCCATTCACTCAACCCTCTTCTCTTCCCCTATACAGCGTCTCTCACGATCTGCTCTTCCGGCTCTCCAATTACGCAATCCGCTAACCCAAGGGCGTAAACCGGAAGACGATGTGATGTCCACTTCGGTTTATATTTCATCCTCTGGTACTAAACCCATTACAATTCCAAAACAGTGCCGCCCGCCGGAGACTGATCCAATGCAAATGTCCATGTTTTCGGATATGATGGACGGTTCGATGGTTAGTCACAGGCACGCCAAAAAAGTGGATCTGTGACGTGTTTTGTGAATTTGTGAAGTGTGTAAATTGGAAGCATGGCATGTCGTGTTGTGTTTTGAAATATTAAGAACTGCAATTTCGGTTTTTTAAATCTCATGAGTCATCATTGTTATTGCTATCGAATAGAAAAGTTATAGAGCGATCTTGCTTCAATCAACTTTTTCACTTTTGAGACTTTGCAGTTTTCACCAGAATTGTAAAATGCCTATGAATAATCGTAATTTCTGAAACATTAAAAATTGAATTTTTCTTTGCTATGATTTTTCGTGAAAATCTCCTCAAAGAAATATGCAATTTGGAAATGGACCACCTCTGAACTACCGTAACACCTGTAATATCTAACTTTCAACTTTGAACCTATTTTTCTCGATTCCTGTCAAAGACATAGAAAAGTTGTCAACTGACTAGCGTCCTCGGCCTACGGCCGACTCTGCTAGGCACGGCTATGCCGCGCAATCAGGTGGAATTAGATGCAGGGCCTTCGGCCCTGGCTTTACGGAATCAGTTGATTTCATGTTCAGTCTGTTCTCTCTTCGTTCGCTCCGCTCGCGCAGGTCAAACAGACCAGAGAGGGTCTTCGGCCCTGTAATATGCAAAATTTGTATCGGAGTGAAATCAGATTCAGGGAGACAACAAGTCTAATAAATCCATGGCTCTCGCGTACCAAGTGGTGGAAGCTTGATTCTCGAAATTTCGAACATTTCATTTAAAACCCTAAGGCTTTTTCATTTTTTAAGGAAATCAAATGCTGTTTTTTTTTCATATCATAGCCAATCAAATTACGCACAAAAGTACTAAGCCGGATTTTTGATTTAGGTCCTAGTTCGGCAGAAAAAGCAAGAAAACCTGAAAAAACGGCAAAAAAAACTCAAACCACTCGTACGTTTTCCATCATATCTTTGTCCAAACAATATAATTTTTGACGATTTCTGGTATCCGAATAACCAGAAAAATTTCCTATCGATTAAAAAAAGAATAATCGGAAACGGACGGAAATTAATATAGTTAGGATTTTTCTAAGAAAATTTATACATAAATTTCAAAAATGGGGGTGCGCGATCGCTACGGTCTTTAAGGGAAGAAGGGGACGGACAAAGTAGTTTTGATGTTGTGATAAACATATTGGAAATTGACCACTTTTTGTTATCTTTCACAGGAACCGAGATATATGGGCTCAAAGTTGACAGTGTGGGGGCTGATCTATTATAGTCTTACGGTAGCTTCTTTTCCTAAATTTCCAAATTTCAAGCAAAGATTTCACTGGAGGGTATTTTTATCAGCTCGAAACATAATTTTTCCAGCTTTTTTCAGCCGTTTTCTGAAAATCAAAAAACCAAGTCTCCTTTACACGTTCTCAAAGTTACGGTAACACTCTAATAGAACCCCCCCCCCTCTTTTTTTAACTGTCATCTTTGAGCCCATATCTCTCGGTACCTGTAAAAGATATAAAAAGATGTAACTGATAAATTATTTTTGATATTATTAGGTTGTCCGGAAAGTAATCGATATTTTTGAGCATATTTTCGGAAGAAGTTTATTCATTCGGAAAATCTTTTCAGTAATTAATATATTTTCCATAATGTTCCATCACACCCTGTCAACGTTTTGGTAGATGCTCAATGTCTCTCGCCTAGAACGCGGGTGGCTGTTGCTCGAAGAAGGCATCCATATACGATTTTAGGTCCGAACTTCTATCGAAGTTCTTGCCATGTTAACCATTCTGAAGCGAGCTCAGTAAATGAAATTCTGTTAGAGCGAGGTCTGGACTATATGATGAGTAACCGAGTATTTTGATATCTTGACCTTGAATTTTTTGGCGGGTGGCCAAAGTCGTGTGCAGGTGCGCATTATCGCGAAGCAGAACAAATGTGTCCGCTTCTAGCACAGAGCACGATACGCATTGAATACTTTTTGCATTTTGTGACAGTACTTGTCCGTTGTAACGGTCGCACAACTGGGAGAAATCTCTCTGAAGATCACACTTCAAAATTCCACCAAATGATCAACATCTCCCTTTTTCACGAATTTCCCTTTTGTGATTGATTCCTGGAGTTTGGCAAACCTTGACCTACTGACGCTTTCTGTTTTCTTTAATCTACAGACACCCTTTATAGTTTCCTGACACAAGATAATGGATCCCATCGAATGTTCGTTTATAGTAGGTAGACCGAGAGTAGAAGACACTTCACAAACAGTGAGTCTCGGCTCAGCTTCCAGTCCTTTCTGGATATGGGCATCGAAACTTGAAAATGGGTGGGTTTGCCTTCAATTGAATAATTGCCGTTCCAAAGGCGATTGAGCCGAAGTCGCAATACAGCATACTAAAGTGAATTGTTACCAATTACGGAGCATATTTTTCGACATCGGATTCTCCTGGAGAAACCCGAAAAAACGACAGCCTCAAACATCAACGGTTATGATGGTGAGGCTCTCGGCCAAGGACTGAGATTTTTTGAAACAAACTGACAATTTTTGTTGAGCATGAGTTGACGATTGTCAAAACAAAAAATAGAAAACGAAAATCGATCGACAAGAATGTATAAAATTTGTGCTCAAAAAATATCGATTGCTTTCCGGACAACTTAATAATTGTACGATAAACAGTTTCTTTGTTGAACACGTTTGATATCTTTTACAGGAACTCAGATAATTGAGCTCGAATTTGGCGGTTTGGGTGGCCTAGAGTGTCCACGGTAGTCTTTTTTTGAAATAATCGAAACCAGAAATCCTATTTTCCCGGTATTTAAGGATCAGATCCATCTAAAAAACTAACCTTCTAAACAATTCGTCTGCGGATTATCCACATAATCCAATCTCCCCCTTCCCACTGGTCAACAAAAATTGTATACTTTCGATTTTACCTAGAGGGACAATGGTTTATGATCCCTTTGGTCGTATACTTTATGCCAATATGTATACAAATTCAATTTTAAAACAATTTCAAAATTGAATAGTATTCAAAAACCTTATTTGTTTGTTTACCCATACAACTCAACAAGATTTCTACCACAAAATCCAAAAATCCCAAAAAGCCCAAAGTTTTCCCACGAAATCCGAGTGGTCAAGTTGTTGCACTTCCTGTCCATTCGCCCATTTTCTCCCCTTCTCTCTACGTATATATAATAACAATAATAGCACGGCTGAATGCGTGCCAGAAGAATTCTCTTATTCTATACATACAACCCTGGGACGCATTCTTCTTTTCAATTTTTTCGCCACTTCAATTTTTTACAAAAGAATGTCTGTTCAATAGACACTTTCTCTCTTATCCTGTCTTCTTCCAAAACTTATCTTTTATCCGTTTTTATTCCGGTCATGTTGTAAAGTGTGTGTTTTGTCATGCCCCTTGGAGCTCACACGGGGGCTCTCCAACCTCCCCGAGCACTTTTTCTCTCTTTACCTGATATCTCTCTTGCTTCAGAAGATTTCTTTAAAAACACCTGGCGCGTCTCTTTTTGCATCAATAGTAGTTATTAGAATAGTTTTGTGGCTTAATTCTTTAAATCCGTTGTATAAGATTCAAAAGAATATTCTTCCAGTTCTCGAACGGGTCCTGGAGTGATATTGGCGAATCGATGATCACCTCGAATTGCACTTTCACTGTTCGAAAAGGAGTGAGTTTAAAAATTCAAATCTTCAAAAAAATGAAAATGTTCCAGCCGCCATTACCAATGGACGATGATACGGATCTGATGAGTGTTCCGATGGTTCAATCAGTGTTCAATATTGATAGAGAGGCATTGCGAAGGGAAGAGCAGTGTGAGTTTTTGAAATTACTTTAAGGCCTGTATTAGAAAGGTCCCTTTAACAGAAGGGCCCCTCTAACAAAAAGGCCCTAATTGTAAGAGAAGGGCTTGGAAAAATGGAAGGATTCCCTCTTATTGCAGGAATCCTGTAATAAAAGGGTCCTTCGCAGGCAGCTTGGGATAAGAGAAAGGACGACCTTTCTTATACATAGTAGCGGACATTAAGATATACAAAAACATAACTTTCAGTTGATAATCAACTGAAACATACATTTTTGTAGATCTGATAGACCGGTACTGTCTAGACTTCTAGCAAATTACACTTTAGCCCTCTTTCTGGATTTTTAAATCATGGGAATTTTATTTTGATGAAAAAAACCCTGGTTTTTTTTTCAATACTATGTATTAGTTTTTTCAGTGCAATCGTCTGTTGTGCTCGGCGAGTCGCGCATCGGCGTCGAGCATCTTCCGATAATAGAAGACGAGAACGAACTCGAGACGCCTCTCGTCGAGACGAGAACTCTGCCAATTCCAAACGATGTGAATGCGAACTTATCGAAAAATCTCTCACCCACTAATCCATTCATCCAAGACACACTGCCTCCTATATTGGAAACCCCAAAAGTGGAAGTTCGTGAAAATGGTGAGTTTGGAAATTTAAGAAGAAGTGTATAAGAATGATTGATGAGAATTCATTTTGAAGGAAACATGGATACTCCAACGTCACAACAATCGCCGGCGGCTTCGGGTGGTTCAATGGTATCCCAGGAGAGCGATTCCAGAAAAGAAGAGACGACAAAAAGTGACAAGGCAAGTCTTTGGGGAAGAAACGTTCACAAGGAATCAGAACGAAGGGCTTGGTGGGAAAATCTATGTAAAAAAGAGAACATTCGACTTTTGGTTTTCATTTCATTCATGTTCGAGATGTTTCTATTTCAAAATGTTTGGAAGAATTTCCAGTTTTTGATCTTTTAGAGATTTTTGTCTGATTTCTGACGACTGGTGTCTGCAGTATTGCCGACAGATGAGATTTTGCGATTCTGAAATCGAATTCTGAATTTGCACCAAATCTACCGGGTTTCTTTAATAGAAGGTCATCCAACTTTGTGCTCAATTACCTTGGTTCCTGTAAAAGAAATCAAAAAATAGTCAACTGATAAAATATTTATCTTTAATATTGCCAATATTTTATTAGTTGACAACTTTTTGATATGTTTCCTAGGAATCGAGATAAATGAGCTCAAAGTTGACGGTTTCGGAGTGCTTCTATTAGGGTTATTACGGTAGATTTAGTGCAAATTCAGAATTCCAAAATTAGATTTTTTTGAAACCTAGTTAACTGCAAAAATCTTAAAATGTCAAAACTTCAGAATCTCAAAATCTGAGATTCTCATTTTTCAGTCTTTTGAATCATGGAGCCTCGAATTCTCTAAATCTCAAATTTTTGAAATTTAAAAGCAAAAACCTTAAAACTTACAAATTTTGAATCTAAAAATCGCATAGCCTCAAACTGCGGTAAATTCAAAACCCTCTATCCAAACATTTTGATTACTTTTTCCTTTTCCGCTTCTCTCGGAAACGAATTTCTTTTACCTCCAGGTTGAATAACGGGCGTGTCTCTTTCTCCCCATAATTTATGCAAATTCTGAATACCCTTTTTCTGATGTTTGATTTGAAAGTGAAAAACATACTTTCGTTTTCCTCGCCATATAACAACACTTTCGGCGGTTATCAGTAGTTTCAATTGCACCGCCACCACCTGTGCCTTTAATCAATTAGAAGACCAATCTTTGTTTTCATTTTAGATTGTAAACATTTCAGAACCCACCTGTCCAACCTGTCAAACAACAGAAAATGGAAGAGAAGGTTGAGAAACCAACAAAAAAGAAGGATGAGCTACCAGCACCTCCACCACCACCAAAGTTCCCAGTCAAGGCGAAGGCACCGAGCAAGCATCAATTGATGATGGAGCAGTTGAAAGTGAGTTGGAATACAGAAGCTATGATCTAGAATCAAAAATTGGTAACCTTGACAGTTCGTTGTCAGAGAACATCTGCTTCGAAATCCTGAATCTGTTTTTGATACTTTTTGAAGAAAGCGAGATAATTGAGCTCAAAGTGGACGTATAGGGTGGGCTTCTATTAGATTATTTGTTGTGCTTTTGGACGAAAATTCGTTAAAAGTTCCCAGAGATCAACTGAATTCCTCCCCCTTCCTGTCTCCAATTTTCCGTCTTTTCAGGCATCCATCGAAGCAGAAAAAAATAAACCAAAGAAAGAAGTGAAAAGTCGAGTTTCATTGCTTCCACCACCAGCTCCAAAACCTCAGAAGGAGAATAAAGAAGGTGCGTTTTTTCTATAAAAAAACTATGTTTAGAGGAAGAGAAGCAAAAAGAATAGTTGGTTTCTTGTCATTCATTCATAATAAAACAGATGAAAAAGTGTTTAAGAAGGAGAGAACTTCCCTTTCTTATTTATGTGCCTTTGTCTTCCTTTTACTCCAAACACTATGTCTACTGATATTCCGAATTTGATTTCAGGCGGAGAAATGACTGAAACCCCCCGAAGATCTATTTCAAAAACGCCGCTAAAAACCGTCAATGCGAAGGCAAAAACATCTCCAGCTCCACCAGTGGAGAGAGTGAAAAAGGAGAGAAAACCATTGTATACTCCTCCGCCGGCTAAAGGTTTTTTGCTGGAATCTCTCGGGTCTTGATAACTCAATTTCTTTCAGAAAGAGTGGAAAAAGAGAAGAAACCACCGACAAAAGCCATTGTGTCCCCTCCATCAACTGGGGACAAAAAGCCAGTTGTATCTTCGATTCCATCGACGTCTTCAGCTCCAAAGGGTACATACCCAACGTCTTCGTTTGCTGGTGGAAAGATTCAGGCGCCACGGAAGGCGTCGACGGCGTCTTCAGTGACGAAGAAAAAAAAGCCAATAGGTGAGAAAATACTATTTATTGAAGAATTACTATAATTCCTCTAATAGTAGCCTACCCAATCCACTCATTTGATCTCCATTATCTCGATTCCTGTAAAAGATATCAAAATTTTGTCAACAGATAAAATATTCACTATAATAGCATCAACATTTTATCAGTTGACAGTTTTTTTTATATCTTTCACAGGAATCAACATAATTGAGTCAAAAGTGCATGTGAGCTTCTATTAGAGCAAATACGGTAGCTTTTGACTCACTCAATTCCCCGAAAGCTGGAAAATTCAAAACCCATTTACAGATGAGAAAGAAAAACTCGCCCGTCTGCATGAATCCATTCGAGCATTCGATGCCATTATGATAGTTATGAGTCAACAGAATGAAGCTAACGAAAAGAAATTAGGACATATTAGTGAGCAATATGGTAAGATCCTATCATTAAAAAAAAAGTTTAGGGAAGGTTATTTTTCCAGAAAAGAAGACGTCCGAGTTGGGAGATTTGAAGAAGATGCTCGATGAGGCGAGGAGGAAGTTTGAAGCGGATGTTGAGCAGATGAAAAGTAACAATCAACAAGGTAGGTTGTGATTATGATAAGAAGATTATTGATGACGTGGCACAGGCATACAGGGTTGCACAGAATTGCCCGGACTAAAGTTTGTACTAGTATAAGATGTGACCGAAGAATTGTACTGGGCTGAAAATTGTAGTACAAAAATAAAAATAATTCATCGTTAAAAGGAAAATTTCAAGTTATTTGATTAACTTTGAGCTGAACTATCGCTTGTCAAAGTTAATTCAACTCATAAAAATCACAGGATAGCGCCGTTCATCTTTGGACAATCAATACCTAGACTTGAGGAATCACTTTGAAAATTTTAGTAGCTTTGAATTGAACGCGAAATTATGTTCTTACTTGTTTTCGTTCATTCTATATACTTAAGTCTGAAGATATACCCGTTTTCATCTGCGCCTTCATTATGACTTTCTTCTCACTAGACGATCATGTGATGTTCCACCAATCTCATAAGGAAATAGCAATAATTAGCCGGGAAATCCCCCATTTCAACAGCTTCTTCTTTTTTCTTTTTTCCTTTTCGGTTTCATTTCCAAATCGAGAAAGTTCTTCCCCTTCCCATTCTCTCTCTCTCCCGGTTCAAACTGATTTCTCATCTCTCTATTCCGATCGAGATATTGTTTAGAAGCGAGAAACGGACAAAAAGGAACCGCGTCTCTTTTCTTCTTTTCCTTTTTCTGGGGCTTATCCGGACGACCGATCTAGCCATTTTCAACACCAGAAACTATTCTTCGCTCAAAAGCCCTTTCTTTTCCTTTAATTCCATGCGCCATCATTCGCTCAACACACGAACTACTCTCGCGGCCACAGTAATCGCCGCTTTCTCATTTAGTGCTTGTATGTTCGTGAGCAAGGACTGTGCCACGTCATCATCGCTTCTTTCGGTTCTTGCCGGTGCGGCTCCTGTCATTTTATTGGTTTTTACAGTTATTCGAAATCATGCAAATACCGTCGAGAGTATGCAGAAGGCTCATGAGACTCAGGTGAGTGGGATTTGAAGAATTGCTCAAAACAGAAAAGCCTAAAATTCCAGAATGCCGAAAAGAACAAGGAGTCTGAAAGAAACCTTGAAGACGAACGTGCCCGTCGAGAAGCCGAAATCCTTGCCATGAACAATCGACACCAAAAAGTCGTTGCTTGTCTGGATGAGAAAATCGCAGAAGCTGAAAAACAATGTGAACAACTTAGTGCTGATAAGAAGACCCTTCAAGCAGCTCTGGCCAACGATTGTGATCATAGAAATCAGATGTTGACGAAGGAGATATCATCGCTTCAGACTGCTCTAGAAATGAAATCTGCAGAGATGAAAGATCTGCGGCAGAAGAATCAGAATGTGAGTTCCGATTTTCAGAAACCCAAAAATGTTATTTCTAACCATTTAGCTGTCCCTACAAGTCGACGAAATCCCGTTGAAAGAGTTGGAAATCAGCAAATGGAAGCACAAGTCAAATGAGTATAAGCAGATGTTGGATCAGAAGATCAATGGAGAGAAGTGAGTTTCAAAAAAAGGATTTTTAGAAATATTAAAATTCTAAAAAAATGGTTTAAGAATCCTTGTCCAACAAATTGAAGACCTTCGAAGGAAGCAAATTCACGATGAAGAGGAGAAGGAGGCGATGAAGAGAAGCTTTGATTTGATGCAATTCAAATATGAAAACGGAGATGATCCAAATGTCACTAGTGTTATGTCAGCGCCAATGGAATGTCGATTCGGCACACCGTGAGTTTGAAAATTTGGGTCTTATAATGTTTTTTGGAACTTCCGAAGATTTATTCTGAAACTCATACTTGTCTAAGAGCTGACTGATAACTCGCTTCAAAATTGAAATGGGGAGCAACACAGCACACCAGATGATAGAGCTCGGCGAGCTCCACAGCCTCCAATAAGAATTGACCGACTTCAAAAGCGGTATAATGGTCCAGGCCGGCATTATCGTCGAGCCGACGATTTTTGCCCGGCCCAGCTATTAAATGTCGGCCCGCACCCGTTTACTGAATCAGATACTAGTCGATTCTTATTGTAGATTGCAGAGCTAGCCAAGCTCTATCATCTGATATGTTGTTTTGCCCACAATTTTGATTTTGAAGCAAGTTATCAGTCAACCCATACTCGCTTGGAATCGGCCCGTTGACACATATGGTCGTAGATGTTTTTGGAACTTCCAGAAGATCCAAAAACTCTTTGAAAGACAGTGCGCAAATTTCAAATATCACGAATTATCTTTTTCCAGAACAAAAGTTCAATTCCGATCTCGATCTTCTGCATCCGGAAGTCGTCCGATTTCCATGGCAGCCAGCAACGGAGATCAAAGACTTTCCACTTCCTCACATCGTAAGTCCCATCCCTTCTTTATCCCAAAATCTTTTTTAAAATTCCGAAATTCCAGATGACGATAGTATGAATCGATCGACTATTTCCATGTACACCAGCCACATCCGCCTCCCTGAAAACCATGCAGATGACGTCATTTATGCTCCAGATGAGATTATTTCTAGTAGGAGTGGCTCGATTTCTCAGCGTCTCGCTATCGCTATTGAAGACGATGGAGAGCCAATTTTAAAAAGCGAATCTCGGAACGCATCGGATTCTGGAATTGGTCTAGTCATGTGATTTTCCTCGTTCAAAGTATTTAGCTTCAGTTTTTTCTCTCTAGATCTTATCCGTATTTTAACTCATGACTTTTTTCTTAACTATCTATCGCTGATTTTCAATGTTCCCGGCTCTATTTGATCCGTTTTCCCCTTTTTTCCAGTTTTGCACTTTTTGAATTTCCAACTCCCTCTGATCTCTCTGTCACTTGTATTTCTGTACAACGACTCTATGCTTTTTTAATAAATAATTGCAATGTTTTTATTATCAAAACAAACAATTATGCACAAACCCCATACACAAACTGATGGCAAACATGATAGGCAAATGGAATTGGAAATTCAAAAATTTTGAAAATTGAGATCATTTTGGAACTAAAGTATAGGAAATTGAGATAGAAAGAGAAGAGATAAGTGGCTATCGAGTACTAATTGTCTCATTATGGAGACTTATTGCATCATAACCAGGTGGTCCTCCTTCTGGAGCTTCTAGTTCTGGAAGGGCGGTTGAAGAACTTGGCGTGGAGGTGGCAGCGAGGGTCCGGGCAATTTCTGAAACTGGAGTGTTTGAAGATTTTGAAGTTCAAATTTTTTAAAAATTTAGAAATTTTATTTTCTGCAGGGAGGTGTTTAAAAATTCAGTTCAGTCACCTTACACATTGTTAGCATACTTGTAAAGCGGGCCTATAGCGGGCCACTGGCGGGTCTTTGCCGTTCCGGCCCTAGTGTCTTTTAATCAATATTTATGGACGAATCTAATTAGATATGATTGAACTCGACGTGTGCTACAAAACAGTACTATTGGGAAAATTGTGTCTTGTCTATGAACGAAGTTATAAATCATATGAGATGATTCAGGTCGGGCCGGCCGTTGCCTCACTTTGCTCATAGAAATGATTCAGTTTTCCAAATAATATAGTTTCGTAGTACTCGTCAAGTTCTATTAAATATATTTTAGTTGGTCCACAAATATGAACTCTAAAAGAAACGATGACAGTGCCAGCAAAAGCCTGCCAGAGGTCGGTTTTTAAATTTTGCAGTTTTGCATTTTGAGCTAGTTTTTCTCAGTTCCCAGTGATGACACTAAAAATTGTCCAACTACAGAAAATAACTTTGGTATTATGGTGAACGTTTTTGTAGTTGACCAAATTTTGGCACCTTTCACAGGAACCGAGAAAGAAATGCTCAAAATTAAGGATTTTGAAATTTTACGCTACCTTTCATCTACCCGAGCCGGCTCGGCCTGCTTGATTTAAGAGATATAAGAATTTTGAGCAAGCTGAACCGGTTCGTCATTTGGCACGCACGGTTTTTTGATTCTCAAAATGTCTCACTTACCATTTGCATGATTTGAATCGTATCTAGTAACACAGGCGTGAGCGTGATTCTGAATATTTGCAATCTCCGACTCCATGTCTAGAATTGTGGAGGACGGTGACGGCATCGCTGGGCTGAAATTTTATTTTTTAATTTAAAATTCTTAAAAGTCTAGAACTCACTGTTCCATATCAATAGCTGTGAGTGGAACTTCCCGGAAACCAGGCTGGGAGACAATCACTGATTGGAGTTGGCTGGAAATATTGAGAAATTGATCTGATGTCTTTAGATAAAGAACTCTTAGATGTTGAGTTTCTGATTTTCGCTTTTTGTGAGTCGGGAGCACAGTTCTAGTAGCTGATAACTTCCATGTGACCCTACTGTTTAGTTGATAATTTCATGTGACCACCCGAACAAATTTTCACAAATTTTGAAAAAAATCACCTCTCCCTTCTGGCATTAATCGCAGCTTGTTCGTAACTTGGTGGCAAACTAGCATCTCCAGAAGACCTCGTGACACTTGGAGCTTCTCTGGTAGTGATCACAGATGGCGTGCCTCCGCCGCGTTTGAAAATTTGCTCGTATCGCGGTGGAGGATCCATGAATCCAAAGTTTTGATGGCTTCTGGTGGCACGGCGTTCTGAAAATTTTTGGATTTTTGAAGTCTTGATTCCCAGCAACTTTTCATCTTTGATTTTTTTTTCTTTATCTTCACTCACCATCACTTGGATAGATGACATCGGTGTCGGTTTGGGCGGTATTTGTGTTCCTGAAAAGTCACACTTTATTAAAGAATTTCCAATTCCGATAATTTTTCAACTAATGATAAGCCTGATAATATGTCCCAAAATAGTGGCTTCGTGGCAAAAATTACCTGAACAAATCGAGAAAACAGATCAGAAAGCAACACATTTTTAGTTCCGAATATTCTTGGGGTGTGTCTGACTTTCTTATTTGGCGGGGAAAAATAAAAACTAAAGAGTAAGGAAATGATGATGATGGCTTCGTGTTATCGATTTAGGAAAAGGCACAATTATTGTGTGATAAGAAATGGAGACACCCAAAGTGTTTTGTTTTGAATTGTTTGGATGAGGCAAAATGCAAAATGCCCGCCTTTTTTTTTACCAAAAAATGACAGTCAGAGCACACAAATATTAGAGGAAAACGGAACCAACCGCCGTCGCTTCGTCTGACATATTACAAAACGAGCATGTTTTTGTACTAAATGGACAGAGAGATATGTACAATGTTTTGAAATATAAAGCACCATGGAAGGAAGGGCAAACAGGGCGAGATGGTAATAACAAAGTGAGAACAGTAGAGAGGAATGTTGAAAAAAATATATGTGCGTTTTATTTTGGGAAGGAAGGAAGAGAGAGCAAATGGAAATTTTTGGGATCACAAACAATATTTGAAAGTCAGGAGTACATTGCTATGGCTATATATGTACTTACTGAATTTAAAAAGCATAGAAAACATCCATAGAGTTTTCATGGTCGTTAAAATTCCTGTACCAATATCGAAAGCTGTTTCTTCTTTTACAAAATAGTTTAAATTATTAAAGAACTCCAAAGCTAAATCTTTAAAAACATACTTTCGGATTTTAACTCTTCTCGAAAAGTTTTTGTTACCGTAAGTGCTCTGATAGAAGCCCACCGAGTATGTTCACTTTGAGCTCAATTATGTCAGTTCATTCAAAAAAATACAGAAAAATGTTTAACGTTCAGTACTAATAAATTATTTATCATAATATCCCCAACATTCTATCAATTGACAAATTTTCGATATCTCTCATAGGAAGTGAGATATTGAGCTCAAATGGCACGTAAATGGTGGGCTTCTATTAAAGCAAATATGGTAGTGAAAAACGCCTAGATAGTACGTCAGACTGTGTGAGCTTCACTATTCTTTTCCCTGTTACAGTTCACAAAGATTCTACGTCAGGCTTGACGCCAACAGGTCAAATTTGATCCAACAGTCATCTTTAGTGACGTTCTTAGACCAGACCTATATTTCCGGTCTGCCATTGAAATTTGTCATCTCCAAAAATAGGAGTACTCCGAGAAACTATTTGGGTCATTAAAATTTTTATAGCACTAGCGAAATTATCTTTTCTGGAAATTCAGGGGCAAACATTTTGGGGAATGCCAGTTTTCTAAAACAAAGTTGGGCTACTGTAAAACCTCTGATATTAGGTTGGCGGGAAAGTCTTTGTCACTCTGTTTGTTTAATCACTGTTCTCGTATATGGAGGCTGTGTATGATATCGACTCTAGTGAATAACAAGGTGATAAGAACCTTCCATATAAACAAGTCCCCATTTCCTTCCCTGCTCCTCATCTGTAATTGAAACGATATGTTTGTTCCCACTGCTATTCACATCAGACATGTTTTGATTTACCTCTTCCTATCTCACACCACGATGAAGGATTCGGAAACTTTCTTGAAGAATGTGTACAACACACATGCCCCTCACTACAATACTATTCGCAATTGGTTCCATCGTTTCGAAAAAGATGACTTCTCGCTCGATGAAAAGGATCGCTCTGGGAGACCCCGTGAGTTGGATTTGGACAAGCTGAAGCACGCATTGCAATCGGATCCATTTCAATCTAGCCGTGAACTAGCTGTCACATTCGGAGTTCACCATAGCACAGTCCTTGAAGGTTTGAAGTCTCTTGGAATGAGAAAACTTTTTGGTCGATTCATACGTCATCACCTGACTCAAGCCAACCTTGACCGCCGAGTCGACGATTCGATTACTCTTCTCACTCTCCACGCGGGCGATCGATGGCTGGACCGGCTAATAACCGGAGATGAGAAGTGGGTCTTCTACGATAATCACCACAGGAAATCCCAGTGGGTTGGAGAAGGAGAGAGCCCACAGGATGTCCCCAAACCCGACCTTCATCCGAAAAAAGTTATGCTCTCTGTGTGGTGGGGAGTGGACGGCCCCATCTACTGGGAACTTCTGCCCGAGGGCAAAACAATAACTGGAGACCTCTACACTACTCAACTACGAAACCTCAAGAAAGCAGTCGACCGTTCGGCCCTGAAAGACAAGAAAGTGTACTATCAACATGATAACGCTCGCCCACATGTTTCGAAACAAGTGAAGCAGGAGCTGATGGGATATGGATGGAATGTTCTCCCTCACCCCCCGTATTCTCCTGATCTTGCTCCTTCCGACTATTGGTTATTTGGCGATATGACACGTGCCTTCGAAGGAAGAAGCTTCAATTCCCGTGGAGCGGTCGAAGCGGCACTCAAACAATACTTTGCCTCACGCCCGGCTGGATTCTACCGCAATGGAATCCATAAATTGAGGGAACGTTGGAGACATGTTGTTATAATGATGGACAATATAATTAATTATTCGGTTATTTTTTCTTTGAGAAATAAACTATTGAAAAAGTGACAAAGACTTTCCCGCCAACCTAATAGAATAGTACCCTGGCCGTCAACTTTCAGCTCAACTATCTCGATTCCTGGGGAAGATATCAAAAATCTGTAAACTGATGAAATCTTGGTGATATTATGATAAATAATTTATCAATTGACAAGTTTTTGATATCTTCCAGAGGAACCCAGAAAATTGAGCTCAAAAAAGACTGTCGGGGTGGGAACTCATTTCGAGATTTAGGAGGCGAATTTGATAGGTTTTCAGTAAAACAGTTTTTAAGTTTTCAAATTTGTTTTTTTTTCTGATAGATCACAACCTAAAAGTCAAGAAATTAAAAAAAAACTATAAAAAATTTAATTTTGAAATCTGTAGAATTTCAGAGTGTGTTCTATCAGAAGAAAGCATATTTAAAATCCCTCAAATAATGTTGTATGGTGTCTGGAAGCCAAAATTTTCAGTACACAATAATAAACAGGGCTGCAGAGCTCCTGCACCCACCCCCCCCCCCCCCAAAATAATAATCCAGCAAACTCATAAAAATTTTGAAACACCAAGTTTCCCCATAAAAACAAGTCGTTATCTAGCATCTCTAATTGATCACTGGTCACCAGAGAACTTCTTGAAAAAACAGAATTCAAAAAATGAACCTTTTCCGTGTGAAGAGCCTCATGACTGCTTTGCATCCGAACATGAATAGAGCAATGAGTCCAATGAATACCACTAAAGCGACCAGATACCTCATTAGGTCACAATTTGGGTCGTTAGGCTGGAAAAAATTTAAATTTAGTTTTTGATTTTTTTTAAATTTTGAAACATGTATTTCTCAAAATGTACAATACCAGTCAATGAGATATACAAAAATATATTTTTCAGTAGATTTTCGGCAATTTTCAGGAGTCTGGAGCTCGGCTGTCAAATTTCGATCATTTTTAGAAATTTGGAGTGTAAAACAGACCTAGTTTAAAAACTTTGCATCCACAAAATTTTTTGAAAATTCCTAGTTTTTCAGATACTTCCCGATTTCTGAAAGACACCCGTTTTTGTACTGAAAACCTGAAAAACAGGTGTCTGTCAGAAATCTGCGAATAGCTGAAAAACTAGGAACTCTCAAAAAATTCAGTGGATGCAAATTTTTCAATCTAGGTCGAAATCTTGACAATCGAGCTTCAGACTCTTAAAAATGGTACAAATGACCGAAAATCAACTTGAATATGGAAGTTTGTATCGCGCCGAAGGCGCGACAAGCAGGTGGTATTTTCAAAAAATATTTGTTTTCAATTCAGAAAAAATGACTCACCGAACATTCTGGCGTTGGTGTTGGTGAAGCTTCAACCGCCGGCGAAGTATTCCGACTGAAAGGCATTCGGATGGCTAGAAAAGACATCTTTAGAGAATAAAAAAAATTGTATTTTTTGCTATCAGAAAAATCAGTAATCGGAAAGAAGCAATATTTATAGTAGTAGAAAAACCATGCAGGATGATTCACATACAACACAAAAAAAGGCGAACAGGGGTCTTTCTAAATATGTGTGGGGGCTCTAAACGTGTCATTGAGCAAACATTTATATGCTCTTTCCAATATTTTTGCACCAACAAGTTGAAAATGAAACAAAGGAGTCGGTGCGAGCATATTGGAAAGTGACTAATGAGAAGGATCGGAAATGTGGGAGGAGGAAGAAAAATATTCTAAAAATACAAAATATTGTATTTTAAATAATATTTTAAAGAGAAACTTTTGTGTTTGAACAACTCTATATCAAGAATACAAATACTAAGACTGTTTGACTTGAAACACACATGCCCGAAGAGTACATGATACTTTATACTAGAAGATTAGACTGTTATCAGTGGAGCACACTTGCACGTAAAAAATATTTGATGCTTGATTAGAATGTCTAGTTTCATCATAGGAGAAAAGTTGCATCATGACCTACCAGATTGGTTTTGCTTTCTGCGCTCTCGCTTCCATATTCCATCTAACTTATTCATGACGAATTTCTATTCTGGAATTTTTCTCGTGCTTTGCAAAAATTCAAAAAAGTGTTAACGCAGTCAGCAGGATTCGAACCTACGCGGGCAGAGCCCAATTGATTTCTAGTCAATCTCCTTAACCACTCGGACATGACTGCAGGCGAGAGAACATTGGAGAAATGACAATGAGGTTGCAGCGGAGGCGCAGGAATGTAAAGTAGAGAGATCAAAGAGATGGGATGGGTTTAAAAAGATAACTGATAGAAGGACGTACATGGTTTTGAGTGGTATTGATTCAGAATCCTCAAAAATTTGGGAATGGAATGATGAAAAAAAGAAACTACATCATCTCGAAACACAAAAAAAACAAAACAAAAAAGAAAGTATTGATGGGATTGTTGTGAATTAAGAGAGAAAGAAACAATAACAATCTCTTCTCCCTTATCAAGATGACGATGTTTATGTCTCCAAATCACGAGTAGGAACTCCTGGTTTAAACGAACTGACCGACTATTGAAAATGGGATGAACTACTTTTTTAGGACTGCAAGAACTGCGATAACTAATGTCAGCTGAAATCAGTTACTGATAAAAAACTGACTGATGATCAGAGAAACGGAAAAGTGGTTCATCATAAAACTTTTAAAAGTTGTGGAAAGGCGAAGATAAAAAAGAAAAGAGTGATAAAACTAGAAAAGCGAAAAGTTCTGGAAGGAGGTTTTGTGATCTTTGAGATGTTTGATAACGGAAAATGGAAGTTTTAGGTATGTAAAATTCATAAAATTGGGAGATTGAAGAAGTTCAAAAATTTAGAAACTAAATTTAGAATGAGCTGGGCTTCAAAATGAGTACAAACGAGGTTCGGTTTTTTAAAGATTTTATATATTTCTTAAAATCTTCGTCGCGGGCAAATATTCGATGGTGGGCGGAGCTTCAGTTCGGTAGCGAAATCTTTGAAGAAACATATAATTTTCGTAATTATTTATATGGAATTCCATGGAGCCCCATGGAAATTCCAGACGTTTTTTTTTCGAGATTTCCAATGAATTTCATAAATTTTTTCCCCAAAAATCCGAAAAATGAAAAAAAAACAGCATAAAAACAGTGAAAATTATCGAAAAATCGATGAAACTCATCTAAAAATCGAAAAAGTAGGACTGAAAATGATAACGAAAAACCCTATAATTGTACCTTCAAGGATTTCAATACCGGGCCTAACCCCTTGTAAGCTCCGCCCAGAAGAAAAACTCTAAAAACCGAAAAAAAGGCATCATTTTTTAGAATTTTATAATAAAATTTTAAAATAATGCTCTCCAATGAGAATCTATTACTTTCTAAAAAACAAGCCCTCGGTGCCCAGAAGAACTATTTAAAAAATTTAAACAGTCCAAATATTTTTGACATCGAAAAAAATTGTCCACCTATATATTTTCTTTCCTATGCTGTCAAATATATCATTCTGACCATCACCTCCGCCCTCATGATACATTTTTCTTAAAAATCCAATTTCCACAAAAATGTAGCTCACAGAGCTCCGACTATAATGTATCACGAGGCAGAATGAATTTATGATTTTCCCGGTTGTTTTGTACGAATTCTCCACAAAACGGGCCGCCCATTTTTATCAGATTGTGTTGCTCTTTCTGTTATCTTGAGGGAGAGAACGACACGGTCGAAAGCACAGTTTCATGTGACTGATGAATGAGGGTCAAAAAATGACGTTATGTCAAAAATTCATGTCAAAAATTTAGAGAAAAAGAAGAGGAGAAAAATATATGTTAAGAAAAGTGTGTTAAGCTAAAAGTTTCGAAAAATTTGCAAACATGGAAAAGTTTGTGTGTTTTTGACCTGGGAACTTCACATTCTGCATATATATGTGATTCATTTTTAGACTGTGCAAACTTTCGTACTATTTTGATAAAGAGAAGAGTAGAAATACTCTGTTAGTTCAGCTGATGGATTATTATATACCTTTGAACTTATATCAGTAAATATATAGAAGGAAACAAGCACTTTTATCATCTGCAAATTCTAATTATACAGTTTTCAACTTTTTTAGAATGTTGGTGAAGGTTTCAAATTGACAGGAGGCGGATTTTTTTAAACAAATTTCCTCCTCTGCCGCAACCTCAATGTCATTTCGCCCTTGTTCTCTCGCAGCAGTCATGTCCGAGTGGTTAAGGAGATTGACTAGAAATCAATTGGGCTCTGCCCGCGTAGGTTCGAATCCTGCTGACTGCGTTAAACCTTTTTGATTTTTGACGGAACGAGAACAATATAGAAATCTCTAGAACAGAGTAGAATTCAGTTGACGTAGCTCTTCATGTAGTGCGGAATGGAAAATTTTTAAAAAGGAGAAGTTGAATAATAAAACTTTGGAATAGCACTCAAGGTGATTGATTTCCATCACTTATCTAGATGAGGATGAGTATTTTTACGACTTGAATGGAATTTTTAAGGTTCAAAAAAAAGTTGGTAATTAAAAAAGGAGTAGCACTTCTGATTAATTGAAAAAAGTAAGAATTAAATGCAAAAACTGAAGTCAAGGAATTTTAAGCAAGTTGGATCTCGAATTCCCCGAAACTAGAAAAGAATCTTCTAGACAAAAAATTTACAGATTTCTGACTAATAGTATGTGTTTTATATAAACATTCATTATATAAGGCAAACAAATTGAGTGGGTCGAAAAGTACTCGGAATTGTCGAGGAAGATTAAGATTTTCATTAGATTCTTCACGTTTTCAACATGTGAGTCTAATCCTAGCATGTTAGGGCTTTATAATGGGAACAGAAAAGGTTTGAGGACAATTTTTTTGGTTTATCGCAAATATGAGATTTTTGAAAAATTGTCTACAGTTTTACAGAGATTGCAGAATATGTATATTACTGTATTCCCTTCAATAGACGCCCACTCAAATCGTCAACTTCGAGCTCAATTACCTCGGTTGCTATTGTCGAATTAAAAAAAGTGGGTCCTGAAAATTTGAAAGGCGTAGCTTTTTTTGATCTACGAAAAAGTGCGGCAAAAACGTAATATTTCAGATTTTCGCCTCGTTCGAGCTACTTTCGTAATTAAGTTCGGTTTTTCGATAAAAAACAGATTCTAAAGATGCTAGCGATCATTTTCCTACCAAGAATCTAAATTTTGTTCAGAAAATCCCACTAAATTCACAGAAAAAAGTTTCGTTTACTACCGTAGTGTTACTGGGACAAGGCCTCGAAAATTGACCGGGAAGCCGCCCGCGAAATTTTCCAGGTCCCACTTTTTTTAATTCGTCAATATAAGAGATATCAACAATTTGTCTACTGATAAATTATTGATGATTTTATGATAAACATTTTGACAGTTGACAACTTTTTGATATCTTTGACAGGAATCGAGATAATTCAGCTCAGAGTGGATAGTTTAGGTGAGCTTCTACTGGAATACGGTGATCATTAATTAATAAGGCAAACCTTAATCAATTTCAATCTTGAATTTTTACAAGATTGATAATCATAACAATGACCAAAGGTCCCACAACGACAACTATCGTAACCTAAAAATTTTTATTATTTCTAGGAAAAATTCAACAAGGGGAAACTTTATCAAAGTATATCATTGAAGTTCTTTTTTTCGCTTTTCCGTTTACTTTCCAAAAGTGAGTCACAGAAAAAGGAATAGAAAAAGGAACAGAAAAAGAAAGAAACGTTTTTCGCATAGATTACGAGCCATGAGAAAAATGTGTAGAAGAAACAGAAAATGCGACGAATTGTACGATTTGATGTCGAGGTTGACACCTGCCCCCACATTCACCATATTTCCAAATCCGTTTCAATCATTTTATTGTCTTCTTCTTGCCCCAATGCACCCAGGCAGGTGGTAAACGGACATTCTTTTTCTCACGGCCCCCCGATATTCCGATTTCGGTGTTTTAATTGGCTTTCGGTGTGTCATAATTAAGCCGAAATTTTCATTTGTCTACATTAGCGGGAGAAGGGAAACTGTACGTTTAGAGGGAAAATCTAAAGCAGGGAGAGGAAGGAGCGATGATCTTTACCGGGACCTGAAAAAAAATTTGGCGAGGTTCTGAAAACTACAAAGTGAAAAATTAAAGGGACCGTGCTACTGAGGGTTGGGAAGAAATGGGTACAAAAATCAAACGGGATCAACATGATGGAAAGTAAAAAGTAAATGCGGAAGTAAAATAAAGAAAAATAGAAGAAGATTATCATCTCGAGAGTCTTGATGAACATGGGGACAGCATAGGGGGACACAAGGACGAGAAATCAATATCAGGGACATATCAATTATCAGATGGCGTCGTTTAGAGCTGGACGTCAGATGCATGACTCGAGATTGAAGATAGGGAGGAGGAAGAAGCGACGATGTGTTCATCAGAATATGGAGATACGGCAATGTCGGGGAAAGTGTGGCAGATGCATTCCAGGGAATCTGAAGATCCAGAAGTCTCGGGAACCTCAACAATGTTTGGCATAGGGATGTGAAGGGCGGCGACTGGTGGGTTGACGGAGGAAACATCCAACTCTTGATCAGTCACATCTTCCATTTCATCAATGACATTCACGATGAGAGTTTGAGGAGCATGGGCTGGGGCGGCTGGTTCGATGTTGTTTCTACGGAGACGGAATCCACGAACACGGCGGGCACGTCGGTCTTCGCGAGGAACCTGAATAATTACTGGTTAGCTGGATACTTTGAGTTGGATGTAGTTTAGGTGTAATTTTTATTAGAATGATAGTTTGTACTTGGAGGTATTTAAGTCTGGAACTCAAGCAATTCATAAAGAATTATCTTATTCCCTCAGTAGGAGCCCACCCAAACCGTCAGCTTAGCCAATTTATCTCACCTCCTGCGAGAGATATCAAAAAGTGATTAACTGACAAAATGCTTAGCATAATATCAGAAATATTTCGTCTGTTGACGACTTTTTGATATCTCTTACAAAAACCGAGATAAACTAGCTCAAAGTTAAAAGTTGGGACGGTTGTTCTAGTAGAGTGTTTACGGGAATTCGAAGGTAATTTAGGTGTAAACTCGATTAAAATAATGTTTATCCCTCCCCACTAAATCTTACCATGTGAACCTCCAAGAAAGGAACAATCATTGGCCAAAACTTCTTCCAGAATCCAATCTTCGGCACCTTCTGTTCCTTCTTTATGGCAACCACCTCTTTGTACTCCTCCTCGCGCCCATTCTCTTTCACCCAACGCAAAACTTTCGATTTGAAAAGTCTAAACAAATGTGTGTTATCATAAACTACTGAAATTCAATATCTCACTTATTTCTGCTGCTCCAATAAACCCACTGTTGGCACGATGGGCAACGTCTCGACTGGGGAAGGCATTGATCGATGCATTTTTTGCAGAACGAGTGTTGGCAGCGGAGAGTGCGGGGCTGAAAATCGGGAGGTGTCAGAAAAAATGTACAAGGGATGGGTTACATTGACAATGATCTCGTAACAAATGGTGCATATAACGTCTTCTTCGTCGAGGGGCTCGCTGAAAAAACGTTAATTACAGGGGAACTGGATTTGTGAGCGTTGCTGGTGAATCCACAGAAATTTTATCAAGCATCGCAGGTTGGCCTCACTATGGCCTAGAAATACGCCTACATTAAGTAACAGTTCTTTAGAAAGATCCAAGGCCTCAAGGCTAGGTTGAGATAACCAAGTCTGTGCAATTCGCGACTGCGGCTGGCCGTGGGTAGGTTGCCATGATCCAATCAGTCCGTTCCTTCGGAAATACTTTCAGCGACACAGAAACCACTAGTGCCGCTAGATATATTCAACCTAACTTACAATTAGAAGTACGCTATTCAAAAATCTGCGGCCGGCCGTGGCACAGGTTTGGAGATATGCTGCCACCCTAACGTAAGGATCAGTGAGGATCAGAAAAAACCTCTGAGCCCATTCTTCTAGAAAAAGGATGATGAAGTTTCGACGAAGCTTGTTATGCCGTAAATTTGAGCTTAATTATCTCATTCCTGTGAAAGATATCGAAAGTTTGTTAACTGATAAAATGTTCGTGATAAAAAAATTTATCTGTTAACAAGTTTTTGATATCTATCGCTGGGATTGAGATACTTGAGCTCAAAGTTGCCTTACGGTGTTTAGGCGGGCTTTTACTGTTTTAGAGGAAATACAATAAACAAGATTAACTGATATTAACTTTAAAACTTTTTGAAAATTTTATCCCCTTGACACTATGTTCCCCAACAAACTTAGTTTTCCACTTTGGCGTAAACAGTTGCTTGGCACGATGTTTCACCCAACTCCAATAGAAGAGTCCAATGTACATTGGAATGAACATGAGTAGACATCCAAAATATATCCATTTGGAGACAGGTGAATCGGGTCCGAACTCATATCCAAGAGCGTATTGCAAACACCATCCGACGAACTCCATGATAGGAAAAACGAGAATCATGTAGCAGCAGTAAAAGCACATCAAGTAGATGACCGGGGCGATACGGAAATCGCAGCAACATACCATGGTGTACGCCTAGAAAAAATGGGTGAAGAAGAATAATGAAAGAGTGAATGGTAAAATTGACACGAAGTGTGAAATGAATGATTGGGGGAAGAAGAATAGGGGAAGAGAGAAAGTGACCGGAGGAAGAGATGTGTTGGTTTTGGGTCGGTTGAAAGAGAACACAAGGAACAGAGAAAGAGAGAACAGTTTTTTGTTGGATTGGGAAGAGTACTTGCACCTGGAAGGAATCTGTTGTTCACATGTGCGGAAGCATGTGTCCCCCTGGCACGGTATCGCGGTTGGGAACCTCAAAAAAAGGGCGCTTCGAAGTACACGAAAACTGGATGAGTGCCAGATTTTGAATTTTCAAAGCGTGTTTCGATTGACAAGATCAAACTTTTAGAGAAACTAACCCCCGAAAAATTGAAAAAAAAACTGATGAAAACAAGAGATGACCCTAGTGAACGCAACACTGAGCCAAAAAGATGCTGGCGAAATACTGCTAGGACTCACTGGCTCCGCCCACAAACTGGAAACGAAGAGCTGGAGATGCTTTTTGGCAGGGACGCATTCTCTTTGCAGGTCTACGGTAGAAAAAATTTCGAAGCGTGGTATAAAAAAGGAGCGGTTAGAACGACTTTGACCGTAGTGTCTCTTATAGAAGCCCACACGATACGCGCACTTTGAGCTCATTTATCTCGGTTCCTGGCAGAGATATCAAAAATGTGTCAACTAATGAAATTTTGCTAATAATTAGTAACATTTCATTAGTTGGCAAATTTTTGGTATATTTTGAAGAAACCGAGATAATTGAGTTCAAAGAGCATGCACCGGGCGGGTTCCAAAAAAATACGGTAAGAGCAGAGGATGCATTTAAGTTACGGAATAGGTCAAAGTCCTTAAACTTTTCGAAATGTCAACACAACCATGTTCCAAAATAGACCATCTTGTGTTCTCATTTAACCTCCAATACCTTTCAAAAGTTCATAAGATTCTATCTACACTTCTAATTTTCTCACTAGGCGGCTTACCTCGGGCATGTCAACCTTTTCGTCAGATCTGAATAACCCGATAGGGTGCCCCAAAAATCCGATCTAAACAAACAGGAAACAGCCACGTTTCGAGCAGAAATCAAAACCGGCAAAAAGTGACAGAAAAAAAGATGGATGAATGAAAAAAAATGGAATAAAAATGAGAGGAAAAAAGGAGGTGGGAATGCATATTTATATATGTGGTTTTCTGTTCTGCTTCCTGTATCTTTATTTTGGAGAATACAAAAATTTGGGTGACGTGATTATTGAGGAAAAAGGGAAGGAATTGAAACTCACTCGACACAGTCTATGAGCAGTTTTTCCAGAAATTGTACAATCGAAAAACATTTCCAAACGAAGATGTCTACATTTTTGCAATAAAATTTGTGTCTGGTCGGTTTGAAATTTCAAACCTTTGTGCTATCATAAACAAGTCAGTCTTGAAAAAAAATTTTCGAAATAAACAAAATAAATATACATTGGGTTATGAGATAAGCAGAAACGTTCAGAGGTCAGTCGTTCCGAGAAAGTGCAAAATAAAAAATAGTTTTATATTAGTGTTCTAGATAGAGGGAGAGATCGAGAGAAGCTCTCAATCCTGGCTACCGGAAAGGTTGTATTAGAAAGACCCCTTAAATTTCAACTTTAAGCCTATTTTTCTCGGTTTCTGTGAATGATATAAAAAGTTGCCAACTGATAAATTGTTCGTCATAATATCAAAAACATTTTATCTGTTGACAACTTTTTCATATTTTTGATAGGAACCGAGATAAATTGGCTCAAAGTTTAAATTTAGATGGTTCTTCTAATACAGGTATTTGCGGTGTTTTTGTCTCAAAACTCAAAGTTATTCTTCCTAGGGTTCCTTCAAAAACTAGAAAACTTTATGACCGAAAATTTTCTTCAAAAACGTAAAAAAAAACTTATAACTAACATTTACTACTCTTTTTTGGTCATAAAACCTTGACTCACAAAGCTTGGAAAATGGAAAAAACTTAATTTTTTGGAATCATAAAACGAGTTACCGTATCCCTAATCGACAACCCAGGAGGCATAAATATTTGAAAATTTTATGAGCGCCCGTTACAGTATGCCTGGAGCAAGATAAATCATTTTATTAGCCTTCACACGTGAAAAATGCACCGTTTGCTCAATGGTGATAAAAGTAATGGTCTGCACTTTTATAGTGGAGTTAATGAGGAAATAGTTGACACATTGCCCTGCAAAAGGGTTTGAAAATCTTTGCACTTGTGAGTTGGACGATCAATGGAAGAAAGACAAAAAAGAAAGGAAGCTACCGTATGTCTTCTAAAAACCAAGAACGCCAAGACCCTCATCAATCTTCTCGCCCTCAGAATGAGCGTGTGAGTAATAGATCTCAAAAAGACAATTGTATGATGTGCACAACGTGTGGGGGCGAAATTTAATGGGTCGCAGAACCTTTGGAAAGGCCGAAATGAGAGGGACGAAATGGACACCCCAAACAGAAAAAGAGGTTTTACATTTATTTGGAAAAATGAGAGAGGGGTACATGGATTTTGATTAATTTGACAGGATGGAACATTGGTCCCTTCCACAGCCGGAGAGGAAAGATTTGCAGCTCGTCAAGAGGGCTGCTACAAGGTGGCGCATGATGGCGCATACTCGGACTAAAGTTTTTACTAGTATACCATTTGAGAAAACTGTTCTAATGGGGTCAAAATTGGAGTGCAAGAATTCAAATAACTTATCAGTAAACTGGCAAAGTTTCAAACTATTTAATCAAGTTTGAGCTGAGTTATCGCTTGTCCAAGTTGCTACTTCTTATGAAAATCACAAGAAACACTACGCCGTTCATCATTGGACAATCATAAAAATACCTAGACTTGAGGAATCTCTTTGAAAATTTTAGAAGCTTCGAATCATGCCTAAAATCGTATTTCTCTCAATTTTCGTGCTTCCAAGAAACTTATGTCCAAAGATATAACCGTTTTTATTAGTCCGGGTAATTGTGCGCCTATCATAATGCAAAAATATTCCAAAAAAGGCAGACTAGTTTTCAAAAAATATTTTTTTGATTGACAAAATTTATTTTCTTTATGTCAACTTCTGGTTTTTTTCCTTTTTCAATCAAAAGTATGAAAAACCAGCGATAATTTATGAGAAGTAGTAACTTGTCTACCTTCTCCTTTCCAAAAGTTTCATATAAAAAGAAAAGGCAGAACACTCCCTGGAGCTCGTTTGAAACTATGACAACATCAGCTTTCACTTCGAGTAAACATGATGAGTGCCACTTCGGTGACGTGGGTATACAGACATCACGAAGACATCCCGAAGAGAAGTAGAAATTATTTTTGTGTTAGGGAAATCCTAGGGGAAGAAATTCCTGACAAGGCAAGATGATCATGCTAATTGCGCAATCATGAGCATACAAAGACGTCAAACAAATGTTTATTTACAGATAATGTTTATGTACAGAGTATCTAGTATCAATCATCTCGTTGAGTTTTTCAATCGAATAGTGACCGTATCGTTTTCCAGATCCCCGACATGTTCCAACCCGACTCCGACTTGTTGTCTGACTTGACTTCTTATTTCTGATTTCAGCTCCTCGTCGTCCACATTCTAAAAAAAATACAAGATATTCTTATTTTTGGAATATTTAGAAGCAAGTAATTAACTAGCAAACGGATATACCGTATGACCTTCAATAGAAGCCTACCCAAACCTTCAACTTCGAACTCAATTATCTTGATTCCTGTGAAAGATATGAAAAAGTTGTCAACTGATAAAATGTTTGTCGAATTATGATTTAAAAATGTATTATTTAGCAAATTGTTGATATCTCTAACAGAAATTGAGATAATTGAGCTCAAAGTTGACGATTTGGGTAGGCTTCTATTGGAGAAAATAAGGTATATGGTATACAGTCTTTTTAATTAAATTTTTGAATCAATTTTATGAATCATGTTACCCAAACTCAATTTTTGATGTTGAATACAATTCTAATGTTTTTGGATTCGAAAAAATTTAGTTCAAAAATGTTACGAATTGTTTTTAGGGTGGCTTTATACTTATGTTTCGCGCTTTAGAAACCAAGATTCTTAGCATAATTTTCACCATAGTCCCTCAAAAAATGAGAGTCAATCTTACCTTAACTAAGTTACAAAGCTCTGTAGATTGACCTGGTTTATCTTTGAGTCCTGTGTAAATCAATGCCAGTGCTCGTTTCTGAAGAAGAACCTTCTTTTGATTAAATTTCATTCGTTCGTAGTAAGCGTTGGATAGGTTTCGAGAAGCAACATAGCTCATTGTCAACGACTCGAGTTGTCTGGAATATGAGATGAAAAATATTGTCTAGAATTTTTAGTTATAGTAACATACCGTAAACACCTTGAAAGAAGGTCAACCTAACTTCTACTTTTGAGCATATTTATCTCGGTTTTTGTGAAAGATATCAAAAAATTAATCAACTAAACAAATGTTTATCATAACATCAAAAAAAGTTTGTCAGTTGATCACTTATTGATATCTTTCACCGGAAATTAGATAAATGGGCCTAAAGTTGATGGTGTGTTCTTATTGTAAAATCTCACCTATTTCTTATGGGACTTCCTGTATATGAACGACACAACGGACATTTCTCATTGACATTCAAATGACTCTCGATGCATAAATGACAGAACGAATGACCGCATTTTATGATACATGGCTGGAAAAAGAAGTTTCAAATTTGCTCAACTTGTATTAATTACTAACCTCAACGAAAAAGTCCAAGCATACAGCGCAACAGAAATCTTCGTCATGCATAATCGAAACGAGATGAATGGGACAGAATGATGTACTAATCGGAGGGCAAAATCTAATCGAATTAATAGATGAGTTTTTGGCTTGAATAGAAGATGAAAGGGCGGCTTCTGAATCACATATACACAGGTTCCGGTGGCTAGAACAGTTGATTATTCATAAATCAGAGAGAGTAGGAGACGCAGAAGAAATGGTCCGAGAGCAGAAGGTAACCGGGAAAAAGAAGAACACCTGTCTTGTATCGGAAAGAAAAAGAAGGGTAGAGGTACGGGAGGAAGAAGGGTCAATGGGAGATATGAGAAGAGAGAGTAATATAATATGACAACATGATTGAAGGATGGGTTATTTGTCAAGGGAGAGAAAGGATGAGCATATTTATTGTCCCAGGTAGGATGGGTTGAGGAGCTTGTATGGAGGAAAAGAAAGATTCGACGTTCATAAAATTTCAAAATTCTTGATTTTTTAAATTATAAACCAAAATTTTTTGAAAATTTCGAAAGTTCAGGAATATTAAAACTGTAATCTCAGAATTTCAGAATACTAGGATTCTCAAAAACTTGAAATAACGGAAATCTAAGATTCTGAGATTTTCAGATTGTGAGATTGTGAGATTCTGATTGTGAGATTGTGAGATTCTGATTGTGAGATTGTGAGATTCTGATTGTGAGATTGTGAGATTCTGATTGTGAGATTGTGAGATTCTGATTGTGAGATTGTGAGATTCTGATTGTGAGAATCAAGTTTTTCCCAGAATCTGAGAATCGCAGAATCTCAGAATCTCAGAATCTCAGAACATTCTTCAGTTTCAAAATAATAAACAAGGCACAGTGGGTTCGAAAAACAATCAATTTCTTCCTCCTCCTTTTCCTCCGAAATAGACAAATTTTGGTTTTTGGGAGCAACTAAAATTTCAATCAAAACTAAACTTCTTGACAATTCTGAAGTAGAAGTGACAGGAAAAACGACGACATCCATGACGGTTCAGTTACAAACCAATCGGAATAGATAGCGGAGAACAGAAAGTGCTGTAATGAGAGAAAACACAAGAAGACGTTGTCATTCTGTCTGGTGGCTGGAAGAAAAAAGGAACAACACAGCAAATGACTATAACCGGTTACTGTATCTCGGTGTATTTCCTTCTTATTTTGCTTTTTTTTTTTTGGGATCAAGAACCTTTATTAGGTGGTTGTTGTACTGTAATGAAAAATGAAAATTGGAGAAATGAACAGAAGAAAACATTGTTTGGGAAAGGAAATGACAAGAGGAAAGTGTGTAAAAAGGGAAAAATTTGAAAGAAAAAGAAGAAGGACATCGGAAAAGTCTAATAAGAGTGTAAAGGTGTAATGTGTGAAAGTGTAAACGAGAGGATGAGAACACTGAGGATTTCAAATATTAGTTGAAAAAGTGTGACAAAAGAGAAAAAGGAGAACCTATATTTAGAGCATAATGTCACGATGTGGTTGGGTGGTTGGAATGGCCCATACTCCCAGGTGGCATCAAAATAGGGGGCATCGTGCTCAAAGGGGGCATACACTCATAGGGATCACTAACTCATAGGGGGCATCTTGAAGTTGTGTCCTAGGGGGCATCCCACCATGTCTCATAGGGGGCATCGGACCAAATGCTCCCAGGGGGCATTGATAGTCTCATAGGGGCCATTGAGATCAATTTGAGTATATGATTCTGAACATGATGAATTTTTATTTTTACATCTTTTTCGTAGTTTTTTGAGGAAAAAAACACAATTGCAGACTATCGAAGGTGTTATTTCGGAGGGTAAACTGGGTAGAATTTCGGCCAAAAATTCGGGGGTACAATGATTCGGGGGTACAACTCATTTCATTCAGGGGTACAACGCTTGTGATTCGGGGGTACAGTTTTTTTTGAGGGATTTTTTGAATTCCCGATTTTCAGAGCTTGAAAATCTCAGAATTCTTAGAATTTCAGAACTTTGAAATTTCAGTATTTCGGAATCTGAGAATTTCGGAACTTCAGAGTCTGAGAATTTCAGAATGTTAGAATTTCAGAACTTCGAAATCGCAGAACTTCAGAATCTCAATATTTTTGAATTTTTAAAAATTACGACAGAAAATTTTCACTTCTCATTGTCACATTGTTCTTTTTGATTTCGTGTCATATTTTTCACTCATCATGAAAAAAATTGTGGAAATTGTGCTGTGCTGAAAGGCATTAGTTTTTTTTTGAATGTTTAATTCTCGAAATTTCAGGAAAGCATACAACGGAGAACTGTAAAATAATCTTGACAAGTTTTACAAACTCAGGACTTTAATGCTTAATTTATGTTTTAAAACTCAGTCGATACTTTTTTCTCTACCAATTTTTCTCAATTCTATTTCATTTTCTTCTGTTTCTCAATATTCCTTCGGTTTTTCCCAATCTTCTCTTTTTTTTTCTTAATTTTTCGTTTTTTTTTCCAATTTTTCTCAATTTTGCTCAATTTTCGTGGTAATTGAATATTTCTCATTTGTTTCATAATTTTATAGATCATTGAATGAAGGAAACAATCACAATTCAGTGAATTACACACAAAAATTCAAAAATCCCAGAAATTGGCCCAAAATGAGCTATTTGCTATCGAAAATTGTTCGCACAAGCAATAAAACATTACAAAAATTATAAAATTAATTTTTTTAGATTAATTACCACGAAAATTTGAGCAAATACGATGGAAAACGAAGGAAAACGGAGAAAAATCCAAAATCTAATTTTTCAGCGATGACGTCATCAATCCATGGCCGTGGCCGAGGTAGGGAGTTTTCTCTTCCATGGGAAAATTTCGAAAAAATCACAGCTTTTCGCAAATCCCATTTTTCTCCGTTTTCCATTGTTTTTGCTCAAATTTTCGTGGTAATTGATCGAAAAAAATTAATTGGCCGAAATTCTACCCAGTTGACCCTCCGAAATAACACCTTCGATAGTCTGCAATTGTGTTTTTTTCCTCAAAAAACTACGAAAAAGATGTAAAAATAAAAATTCATCATGTTCAGAATCATATACTCAAATTGATCTCAATGGCCCCTATGAGGCTATCAATGCCCCCTGGGAGCATTTGGTCCGATGCCCCCTATGAGACATGGTGGGAGGCCCCCTAGGACACAACTTCAGATGCTCCCTATGAGTTAGTGACCCGTTTGGCCTCTTTCGATAGGGAATTGTAACTCGTTCCCATTTCTGAAAACCGTTGAATTTTGAAGTTGAAATAAATACCGTGAATTCTCTAATAACAAACCCTTTACGTTCATTTTCAGCTCAATTACCTAGGTTCCTATGAGAGATATAAAAAACTGTCAACTGATAAAATATAGGTTATGTTATGAATAACATTTCCTCCGTTGACCACTTTTCAAATATTTTGCATAGGAATCGAGATAATTGAGCTCAAAGTTGAAAGTAAGGCGTCATTCTATTAGAGTGCTTACGGTAAAAAATGAAGAACCATTTTGCACTCTGCAAATATCCTTTTTTCAATTCTCCAAGTTTCAAATTCCAACAGTTAAAACTAGCTTTTATTCAGCAAAATAATTCATATTAAAATTCGGAAATTCAAAAAGTGTCAACTCCTAAACAATAATTTGTTCCTTTTTATAGTTAAACCTGTTCTGAAAGGGCTGGTTGCAGAAAATTCGGTGATAAAAACTTCAGGGAATATGTATTAGTTTTCCGAATAAGAAGCGATGAAGTTTGAATATTTGAATCAGATCAGAGCCCAATGTCGGGTTACTATAAAATCTCTAATACAGTTGCTCCCGGACTTTTTATTTTGAGCTCATATATCTCATTTCCTGTAAAAGATATCGAAAAGTGATCAACTGATAAAATACTTGTGATAAATTGATATACATTTTATCAGTTGATCACTTTTTGATACCTTTCACAGGAAATGAGCTCAAATTTGACAGTTTGGGGTAAGTCTCCATAAGAATTGCATGTTTCCCTTAAAATCGAAACAATGAGGAAGCTCACTTAATCAAGCTCGTAGCTTCAGATTTTCAAGTTCTATCAAAAAATAACAGTTTTTTGAACATCTACTTCACTTCTCATCATCCAGCTACCCATACTCCAAGTATAACTTTGGAGATTCTAGAACTGTCCGGGAGAAAAATATGAAATGGTCCCTATATCTCAAAGAAGACATGTACACATATAAATTCTTCATTTCAAACACATTTTGATGGGTTCTCGAAATATGAGCACATACCCATTGCTTCAAAAATAAATTACATTTCAAATAGACATACAGGATTATGGGACAAAAAGAAATTGGAAGGATGAAATGGAAAGTGTCAGTTGGGAAAAGGAAGGGGGAGAAAAACCGTGGATTGTTGTCGTACAGAATAGGGAATTCGTATTTTTTGGCTCATTAGTCAAGGGATAAGATTGTGCAAATAGATAGATAAAAACGTTGATTTGAATCACGTGAGAATACAGTTGAAATCGAGAGAGAAAAAAGACAAATGGAATTGAACTGATTTTTAGGGATAAAACTGAAAATTCGTTTGGGGTGGTTTATGATTTACGAGGAGTTCCTGGAGTCGGTGGAGTTGGCGGGGCAATTGAACTGAACGATGAAGAGCGGCAAGATTCGAGAGAGGCGACTGATCCTCTGAAACAAGAATTAACAGTTCAGTGCTCCCGGACAAGAAAGCGGTAGCAAGACTTGACCAAACTAACCTAAAGTTTTCCGAATTCAAAATCTCAAATAATAAATTAATCGACACTTGTGTGATCCGAAATCAAACGTTGATGAGTGTCCGGCAGTGGTTTCTGGAACTCTCCACTGCATGATGTACGTTCCAGCTCGAGAACAGTAATGCGATCCCTGAAACATTCAAGCAATAACAATTATACAAGTTCTTGGTCGTAGACCCCTTTTAAAGCGAATTCTCGAGAGAAAACAAAGATTTTTTCTTCCATTTTTTGCTTTTTTTGTTTTTTTTTCTGACTGAAATTTGATGGAACGGTGTACATGAAGATTACTGTAGATTACTGTACAAACCTACCTTCTTTCTTTAGTTTTTTTTGCAAACACAATCACGTCAAAATGCAGACGCAAAATACAAACTACAAAAGGAAATTCGTTTTCTTCAGTAATCTACAGTAATCTCCACAAACACCGTCCCCACCAAATTTCAGACAACAAACCGGAAAAATCGAAAAAGAATCATTGAAAATAGTTGAAAACCCTAGAAAGGTCTAAAAGTTTTGCAAAAAATCGAAGAAAACAACAGTTTTTTTTTCTCGAGAATTCGCTTTGAAGAAGGACCAAAAGTTTTATGGGACAGCCCACTTCTTTATAGTTCAATGCTTACCTGCATGGAGTCTCCCTCCTGGAACAACACTGGCTTCTCCTCGACACTCAATTGCGGTGTTCCAACTTTCAATTCCGGAGCACACTGAAGATCCGGATGCTGGTGAGAGGCTCCTCCGATGGCCGCGGAAACCATCTCCACTGGATTCAGAATCGTTGTTGGGGACTGTGCGCCGTCACGGACTGCTGGCTGCTCGATTTTCTGAAAATGAAAATTGTTAAAGAAACATACATTATGCTATACCTCTGTTGAAAAGTAGAGACTGAATTCGCAATCGTTTTTGAGCACATCGAAATCCCACGTTAACACACATCCGGCGGTTTCAATTGGAATCACAACTTCCACTGGATAACCTCTCCATGTAGCTGTGTTTGTGTAGGTTGAGTGGAGAGGATCTTCTGATGAGCTGGCACCTTCTTGTTCTTCAACAGGAAGGTACATTGATTTGGGAACATGTCCTCCAAGTCCACAATTCGTTGTGAGACATGATCCACCAAGGAAATCGGGAATGAACTTTTCATCAATGTGTTTTCGAAGTTCCTCTTTCAAATCTCCACCACTTCCGCCACTAACCATGAATTTCTTTCTAGTCTTCTCATCAATAAATGGGGAAATCAGGGTCCAAAGGACTGGGAAGACGCGTGGAGCACGAACAACAAGCACTTGTCCCATTGTTTCTGGATAATTAGCTTCAACGATTTCAATGATTTTTAGAAGACATTGGACTCCTGGTCTCCAAAGATGCCTCATTGAAAGTCCATCCAAATCCACTACCAAACTCCATGAACTGATTGGAGTCCCTAGTTTTCTGGTAGCTTCTGCAGCTCGTTGCAACCCGTCTTCACAAATTGAAAGCGTCAGCTTCACCAGATTCTCGACTCCACAACTTCTGAGCATTCCTTTCGTATCCAGTTGTCCCAAACGGAGAATGTACATCGGTCGGCCAGCCTTGTCAGAATTGTGCCAACATCCTGGGAAGTACTGTTTGATGACTGTCGGACGATTCCATTCCTCCAGAATCTTGTCGACGTTGTGCTGCTTTCTCCAGATGATGCTCGCGTGTACCATATCCTTCGCCTTTGCGACGTCGAAGTCTCGAGCACGCAGGAATCGCAGCAAGTGGGCATCGTTAGGAAGCTTTCCCTAGAAAAGTATTTATCTGATTCTGGTTTTTTAATGATGTTACTTACCTTGTGGTGTGCTTGGAGACTGTATTTGATCTCACAAAGTCTCGATTCTTCCAATGGGCTCAACTGTCCAAGGAATCTTCTGATGTACTCCGCTTCGAGTTTCGAGTCGGCTGTAAAAAACCTCACCATTTCCAACAAAAAGTCTACTAAATGCACACTTTTTGTAAGTCACAAAACTATGTATACTAACCAATAACAAATTTAACCGATTTTCTTCGTTTCCCACTTTTATCATATTTTCGTGAAAGCATAAGAGCATATGTGACAGCTCTGGATAATAGTAAAAAATGCAACTAAATATTTTAGGATGATGATGATGAGATCGTTTCCGAATCGATAGATCCGCTGGGGGCTTCAAGGGGAGATCCGCGAGCCCAGCGCCCCTCCGAGGCATGGCGAGAAGCTAATAGACGCAGAATGGGAAAGACCAAACAGTCTGAAGTGGGGGCATCGTCGCGGCGGGCGGAGGAGTACAAGATATATCCGCAGATGCACTTCTGATTTACTGTTGCATTGGTGGCTTGCTGTACGGTGAGAGAGAACGCTTCGTTCTTTGGGTTTTTTGAGGTATTGAGGTTGGATTTCTTTATTGGTCGATAAAAATGTGTGGGAAAAGAGGTAAACCGGAAAATCTGTTACTCTCGGAAGAAGAAATAGGTTACACCAAAGTTCACGAGTCAGAGCGGATACCTCGGATCCAGAGGAAACAGAAATGAAAAAAAAGACTAATCGATCTAAAAGTGCGTAAAAGGACACAGTTAACATGCAACAGACAGACACACATGACAACCAAGTTGATGCAGTTCTGACTAGAAAAGAAAAAAACTAGAAATTGCAAAAAAATAATGAGAGAGCATTTGACAGGAATGAAGGAACAACATCACATTTAACACGGAACACCATTCGAATAGCAGGCTAAGAACATGGTAGATGAATTGATCGATTGAATTTGTAAAAAATAAATATATGAGTGCAGGTGCCTATACAAAACGTTCAGCAACAATGGAGAGCAGCGAGCGAGATAACCGAAATCACAACGAACCGTCGTCAAAGCTCGCTGTCGCACGGGCGGTCCTCATCTCATCGTTTTCTGCAGCCAACATTGGTGGCTTCTGATGAACGGCGACTGGCTCGCCATCTGAAGACTCTTTCAGCTCGATTGCAGAGTCTGTAAATGTGTGTTGGGTCAGTACACTGCATTGAATCACAGCTAGTATTTTGATTACTACAAATCTATACTCCAAGTTGACACTCCTTTTAGAAACACTCGCTTACCTGCTGTCGAAGTGGTCTCCTCCGCATTGGGATCTCTGTATCTTTCGATATGTGTCGTTGTCTTCAGAAGTTCCTCGATGAAGAACTCCAGAATCTCTTTTCCTTTCGCCAAATTCGCACCGTACTGACGAACGGCAAGCTTCTCAACTGCAGATTCAAGGCCGAAGAAATTTTTGACGTCGAGAGAGGCAGATTGCTCGAAACAGGTCCAGTTCTCGTTCTCAGCATGGACCTGAAAAATCATCACACTTTGAAGACGCTGAAGGTTAGAAGTCTTACATAATAAGTGCAATTCTCCTTGACATTGATTCTGCTGGCGAATGAGATGTTCGTGGCTTCGATGTTGAGAGTCCTGTTTCGACGATCCAAGGAGTTCTTCTGCGAGAAGTAGACATAATCGACTCCGGCGATTTTCTTTACTAGATACGGCGCTTCAACGTTCAGCTGACACTTTCTATCAATGACCCACTCGGCACCATCGTCACTGTTGTATTCATATGTCACTTCGGAGCCGACGAAAATCGGAATTTGTGGGCAAGTTGGGAATCTCATTTCATAAGCCTACAAAAGCAGACAAATTTTTCTTATGTTAGTGTTCCATTTCTTACCGCCATAACTATCTCGAACGGATGCTTATAGATACGTACAGGTGATCTGTACGTCTGAACCATCTCGAATCTGAAAAACGACAATGAAGTGATGTTTGAAGCGGTAAAGAGAAAGAGAGAGAGAGAGAGAGAGAGAGAGAGAGAGAGAAAAAATAAAGGAAGTATTTGGTGGATGTTAGAAGTGCGCAAAACAACCGTTTCGAGGTCAAAACAACTAAAAACAAGAAAACGTTCGCTGAACTTTCGGATTTTCTGCGGCATCACGTCATCGCGGAGCTAGAATATGTAATAATCTGGGGTATCAGCCATCAATGAAACATCAAAGACTGGCTGACACAGAATTCGTTTATTCATGGCCTTGAAGATGGAGACAATGAAAAAACGGAAAGATGGGTCACGCGTTCGTCGCATATAAACATTTGGATTGTGTGATAGTGGGCAAAAAAAGAGAATGAAGCATGTGATATGTGATATTGAGTCGCGCCGGAAAACCACGAACATATTATCCTTGTCAGAGAAAAAAAGGTTGAGTCGAAGTGTATGCGATGTTTGTAAACAAATATCTGAAAGCGTAAACAACCGGAAACAGTTGAAACGAGTGCGACAGTAACCCGGCGGGAAAATATTAAATTTACTCATTTTTTAGCTTTTCGCATATTTTGCAGCAAATTTCGTCGAATATGGTTTGTTTTTCATTGTTTTTTGCGGTATTTTAAAATATATTCGACGAAATTTGCTGCAAAATATTATTGTTGTCCGAAAAAATTGGAGTTAGAGAGTATTTTTTGCAGTCTGAATACGGTAGGCACCTCGAAGCGGCAAGCCTAAACAGCACATACTCGGTGGAGACGCAGAGAAATTTTTGTTCAACTGTCTGCGTCTCGACTCCAATTTTTTCGCACAACAATAATATTCGAAAAGCTAAAAAATGAGTAAATTTAATATTTTCCCGCCGGGTTACTGTCGCACTCGTTTCAACTGTTTCCGGTTGTTCACGATTTCAGATATTTGTTTACAAACATCGCATACACTTCGACTCAACCTTTTTTTTCTCTAACAAGGATAATAGGAGTGTGATGATGGACATGCTGGTGTTGGTTAGTACATGATGCTGATAACAGTGGGAAATGCCCTAGTGGGCGGAGCTAAATTCCAGCATGAAATTTATCATAACATGAAACATATTGTGGAGACTATTTCGATCTCTATATAAACACTAACAATAGGCATGAAATATGAATCATCATCCTGAATACAAAAGGAACATCTCAAGAAGCAATAGGAAAACCGCCAAAACATAGTACAACACAGTGGAGCAAAATGGTCTTATCAGCTGGAATAGGAGGTGCCGCCCCCCCCCCCCCCAAAAATAGATAATGAAATGAGTGACCAACACTACTGATAAACTAGAACATATGGCTGAATGCATAGATCAGCTGGACTAAGAGAATGTTCTAGAGTGAAACCTGATCATGGTCACTTAGTGTTGATCGGCGGAAAAAGGTGTTGAAGTAATACTCCTACGAGTTGGCGGAAAAAAAGTTTTCTAATGAACAGGAAAAATTCACTAGTACGGCACCGCTGAAGTTGTTTCCAGCTGGAGTTGTCCTCTCAATTCTATTTCCTGGTCTATAGGAGGTTTTTTGGTAATCTTTGGTTCAAAGTCTATGGACTTTCTTTAGCTCAACCAAAAACAATTTTTTATTTTCTAAAGAATTATTTGAAAAGGAAGAAGATTGTAGGAAGAAAAAAAAACCGAGAAAAATGCAAGCAGATGAATGCAAAAAGACGAGAGAGCCAGCAGTTGACGCCCCAACTTGACGGGTGGCGAGAAGAAAATGCCAAGAACGACAGGGAGGGTCTTGAAATGGCACTTTGTGTATATATTAGAAACAGCATTCTGGAGGAAGAGGGAGGAACGAGAGAGAAGAGAGTCGACAGAGAAAATAATGGAAGACTTGAAAAACGAGAAGAGGCCCCCTAATTTCTTTGAATGAGAATGTGCTTGTGCTTCTTCTTCTAGATTTACTCAGTCACTTTTTTTCGCACCAAATCGATAAAGTCGACAGGTGCTTCTTCTTCGCGACGGCTCGCGTGTTCTTCTAAAGAAACGGAAATGTGTTATTTTCTCAGCGTTGAAAGAAACAGGAAGTGGATAGCTGGAAGATAATAACAGTGGCACGGAACACAAAAAGATCAAGACACACAACATGTGACTTTTCCAAAAAGTACAACAACGAAAATTGAACGAAATTTGACACCAGAAACTAGTAGAAAGAACACATAAACACACTTTATACTACAAGAAACGTTTCTTCTGTAATGCGATATTCAAGGGATTAGGCTTCCTTCCTAAAACTCCTTCCACTAAACTCCTTCCTCCTTCCACTTCCTAAAATCTCACGTGTGCTTGGAAAATTTAGTTAAATAGAAATTACTGATTGAAGAAGACTGAATTCCGGGGACTGGTACCAGAACATACTGTTTTTAGTGAAAACAGATCTGTCACACATTCATTCACTCCACACAAAACATAAACTTCAAAATGAAAAACAATGAAATAATATTTTGAGATGACGAACAACAAAAAAGAGCTAGCTTCCAGTCATACCCACACACAGACAGACAGACATACAAAGACGAAAATGGGAAGAAGAAAAGAATGGATCCGTGAGCAGGCACAAACAGCAACCCATCACTTTGTTTGTGCAAACCGCTTCGTCTCAGCTATTCTCCCAAAAATGACTAGTTGGTGTCTTAGGAAGAACCACCAGGTCTCTTCCTATTGTCTCCAAGACTCTTGAACCAAGAGTGAGCCATAAAAGAATAACTTTGAGGATCTTTGGGGGTCAGCTTGAAAGCGGCAAGTGAAAAGAAAACGTAGACAGTGCAAACTTATTCCGCGGCATGAGAGCGGAACGGGAGATAGAACAACACGAATCGACTAGAAAAATAGTGTCAACTGCCGCAGAAATATGTGTACATTAGTTTGAATACAATTAGTTCGGCAAGAACTGAGATTTCGAGCTATGCGCCTGAAAACAAGATGGCTAAATGCCAAAAAAGTAAAGTTTGTTTCTATGAGAGGGGAAGATGTTCGACGCAAACGGTGGTGCTTAGGTGGTCTAGAATTCAAGGAAACCCACGTAAGACGACGTTCGTGACGTTGGAAGGAAACTTAGGGATCAGTATGTCATAGTGCCAAAAAACCAGAATACAAAGGGGTCGTTGAGCAAGTTTTAGGCAGGTGATAAGTATTGAAAAAATTCCTAAATAATTTTAACAAACTACAAATGGTTTAAAAGCCTCACAACAGACTAGGGATACTGTAGTTGTGATGAGATCTACAGAATGCATATTTTGAAAAGATAATGAACTTTCTGACACAAAAAGAACCCTTTGAAAGTTGATAACATATCTTCAGTTAAACGTTCTTGATTTCATTTTTCAGAAATTCTAGAACCATTAATCAATTTACAGTGTTTCCGCTAATGAAGCCTGCCCGAACCATCCTCTTCAAGAGGATTCCTCTTCGAGCTAAATTATCATGGTTCCTATGAGAGATATCAAAAATCTGTCAACTGATAGAATGTTTTTGATATAATGATAAAAATGTATATGTTGAACAAATTTTTGATATCTTTCTCAGGAATCGAGATAGATGAGCTCAAAGCTGACGGTTCAGATAAGCTTCTATTAGAAAAAAAAATATAACAAAAAACCCTAAGAAACAGAAATCTACAAAAATTGACTGGTGATCAGCGGCGAACTCCAAATTAACGACCTATTCAAGTGTCAAGTGGATGTTTACACCAAACAACAATCTAAAACTAAATCAACTATCCTGAAAACCAAACACACATATTTATTTACTATCTCTTCTCCGCCTTATTTGTAGAAAAAATCTCTCAAAATCCAAACATCAATGTCAACAATTCAAGGTTTGACAGCGTCGGGGACGACCTCGCGGGATGGATGGAACACGAAAACACAAAACTGACTACTGTGTAATTGATTAGTTTAGCAGGAAAGGAACTCTTTTTTCTTTGTTTTCCTTCTATTTCGGGGAACTGTTATCACAGCTGAACAATAGGACAGAAAAAGAACGAACATCAGAAAAGAACTGACCTTCGATATCATCAAGCTATCAATCTACTTTTCTCCTCTATCGAAAAAAAGAACGAAGGTGCGGAAAAAGGTAAACGGGAGTGTGTCGACACATTATAACTAGTAACAGAGAAGAGACGAGACCAAAAACCTCCCAACTTCGTTGTGGGAAAAGAGGAAGAAGAAGAAAAACGAAAAGACTAGAGGCCGACTATGAAACAGAAAATAGCGTTTTATGGTGAGAGCATTAGAAAAGCATGCCGCCTGAGAGAGACCCACACCAGGCAGTGGGGACGCCAGCGTCAGCTCTGCGTCTCCCCAATAAATGATAGTATTTTGTCTTGCCATAGCCTATGGCTGCCTTTTTTCTCTATTTCCCTTTTTTCGATGTAGTAGTTTTCTTCTTCTCCTTCGCATATTTATCCTCGAAATGTCAACGGTTTTTAGCATCAAAATGTTCGACCGAATGACTGGCAATGGTAATGGAAATAAGATGAATATGCGCATTTCCATCTTGGACGAGTTGCTCAATCGGGAAATGGACGGAAGCAGTGATGGGTCGTCAGCCAGAGTAAGTCAATTTTCAACATAAAAAATCGAAACAGAACGAGACCAAAGCTAATGAGTTAGAAATATTCGTAGTTTTTTTTGTGAATATTAATGCGATTTACCTAATGTAATTCACCGATAGCTAATTGAGTTTACTTGTTGTTTTTTGGTCGAACGAAATATTGTTGGAGAAGAACATTTCTTCTAGAAAAGGCAAGAAATATAAAACTTTCAGGTCAATTCGCTGAAGCACGTGATCAAGAGAAATAAAATGGATATGGCTGACGATGCACCATCTTCTCTAGATCTCATGAGACGAGTAGGACAATCATCCGATGAAATACCATTTTATGATAATCTTATTTCAGATATTTCAAGCCGAAATCTCTCGAGAAATTCATCAGATCATGGAAAGGCATACGAGAACTACACTCTGGCCAGCCATCGAGAATTTGAGAAAGAACGGACACGTTGTAGATGAATCGGTACTGAATGGATTGTACTGTAACATTCTGGAGGCAGCGAAGAAACTGTATCAGACGAAGGAGGATGAGCCAACGCCACCACCAACTAATGGAAACGGATTCTTGGATATTGGTCTTGGTGTGGGGATTCAAGATCAGGACAGCCATGACAATAATTTGAAAGTGAGTGGGGATGCACTCTATCTATACAGAAGAACAAGATACCAACTACAAGGGTATACCGGATAGTTGGAAAGTCAACAAAATGACAATGAGACTATTAAAAATTTGATTTCTAGAGTGGAAAACTATAAATCTTGAAATTCGGGCGGCTCCGTTCTTTCTAAAGGATCGTAGAACTGGAGAATTTCATAAAACCAATTCGAATTTTCTCAAATTATAAAAATAAGCATCAAAACGACTTTTCGACACAGAGCATCTCAAGTTGAAAACATAATTTAATTAATTTTTTTCTAGCAAGAAACCTATCAAAAAAATGCCGAGACACAATTCGAGCTCTAAAAACTAATTCCTAGTTTCCGTGATGTTTGACTAGACTTTTAAAAAATCGTTTCGCACTCAGCGACTTGATGAGAGTCTGGATAAAATATAATCATGGAAGAAGTGTGAGAATTTCTACAGAAACCCGAGAACTAAAAGTTTCAGTCTAAAACTCAGAAAAAAACCTAGAATGCGTTGATTGCAAAAAGAATAGAATAAAGACATTTGTCAAACTAGAAGAACAAATTCATGACATAATATTCATGCACTTTTTGCAGAGAGGATACGAGTCAGACAGCTCTGATGTGTCTGGAGTCAGTCATTGCTCTGACGCAAAACGTCGTCGTGGAAGGCCACGAAAAGACGAAGAGGCATATCGACTGGAAATGACGCCACCGACAATGAACGAGGTTATTAGATGGAATCCGGACCGCATTGATATGAACACTCGTTTTGTGACTGCAACGAAGATCGCGCAAGTGCTGGGAATGCCACCGTCGATTCTGTTCAACAAATATCCACGGATGTTTAGAGTTAGTCTCCGTTGACATGGAGATGCCGTCTAATTATTGTTATTATTATAGTACTCGTGCGACGAAGACGATAAGAACATTCTTCACGATCAAAACCGGCTGATTCGGGCACCTGGTAGATGCTATCTACTCGCTGCTGAAGACGCCCGTCAACTCGTGTCCCCTAACTATTTGTAAGTTTGTTATGAATGTTTAAAGGTAACAGCAAGAAAAAAGAGAGAAAAGGAGTAGGGGCAGGAAATGATTATCTTTTTTCTTTTTTGTCGATGGATAATGTTTCGAATTAGAACTTGCTTCGCCGAGCAGCACTTCCTTCCAACAACGACGGATAATGCAAAAGAATTCAAGAAAAGAAAAAAGTTCAACGAAAAAAGAGAAAATTTCAAAAAACATCGCTGAAAAGTCATTGAAAAAAACGCAAAAATTCTGCGGTTTCCCACGAACTGTACACGAGGACAACAGTAGCGCGCATTTGCATACCGCCAAATTGACTGAAAATTGCTCGTAATTATAGTCTGAAATGCCAGCTTACACTGAATCAAAATATTTTATTTTAAACTGAAATAAATAGAACATATTTTGAACAATTAGTTTTCAAAGTCCCAAATTCCATGGAAAAGACAATCATCGTTTATAGACACTAAATTAAACAGATACTATTTCAGTCAAGACATCCTCAATGCATCATTCCTCATCTCTGAACCACTGCTTTCAAAAATTCGAAACAAAGCTGCAGCCACCTATGATAAGTACAAAGTGTTTCTCCCTCAACAACAGTCCAGTTTCATCTAAATATCTGTGCATTTATACTATTTTTCAAATCCGATTTATATAATATCTTCATTTTTCCGATTACAATGACCTCATACTCTTGTCTTCCTCGTATTCATGTAAATCTAAGTCTCAAAAAATTAGACGCTAGTTTCTTTTTTGTTTATATATATACAATGCCCTCCTCAAATATTTCCCTGTGTCCTTTTAAAATGAATCTATTGCTATTTCAGTGGTTCTTTTTGTTTCTACCAAGAAAGCCCCTCTAGGTAATTGCACACACATAACCCCAGATACATGACATAAGCTCATGTAGAAAAAAAAGAAAAAAGAAGTATAAGTAGATAGATGCTTTCCGGCAATTATCCACCGCACCGTAGTTATCGGGAGCAGAGTTTGTGGGTCGTCAGGAGACGACAGACATGATTCAGAAACGGGGATTCAGAAGAAAAACGACGATGATATTGAGGGAGGAGGAGAAGGTATACACACACCGGAATACTTCGACATGCCACTCTCTTCTTGGATATTCCCGATTTTTCCCGAACTCAGGAGAGACCCTCTCACATTTTTCTCTTTTTTGTTGGATTTGGTTCCTGGAGAAGTGGCTCTTTTTTATTAATTTTTTTGATAATTTATAAACGGATAAGGTTAAAATTCAGATTTGAAAAGTCCCATCGAAAAACTGTATTCTCGTTTCCTGAGTCACCGAAATCTCTAGTTATGCAGTTGGTGCCAACAGGTAGGATTAAATGTTGTGAGCTTGTGGTTACTGTAAAAACAGCTCAAAAGACGATGAAGGGTCAAATGACCATCTTGTTAGGTTCTGAGCAGTTATTCTCCTATTTTGAACTACTGTAACTATCTACCAAACTACCAAGGAATACTGCGAGTATGGCTCAATGTTCATTTTTTTTATTCTTGAAAGTTTTGCCTTCTTGGATCTCTGTTTCACGACACTGCGGGAGACCTGAAGAGTTCAGTTTTCATTAGAATATGCACAATCTATAAGATACAGGACTGTCCAAATTTAAGAACCAGGTTTTTAAAATTAAAGTATAGGATCTAAAATTTGTTTTGGTTTTGAAATTCAAGAAATATGCGATTGAAGCATTTCAGGAAATTGAAGATGTTGGACTCACGAGATTTTAGATCACAGTATCGGCAAATAATTCGGAAGTTACAAAAATTTTGGGGTCATTGGAGTACAAAGCAATTTAGGGGTACAAAATACCTGAAAAAGCTCAGTTTTGTACCCCTGAATCACTTTGTACACCTTTGTACCCTCCAAATTACGTGGCTACCGTATCCGCTCCAATAGAAGTCCATCCTATACGTGCAAGCTCAATTATCTCGGCTCCTTCAGAAGATATCAAAAAGTAGTAAACTGATAAAATATTTCTCGTAAAGTGGCCAACATTTTATTAATTGACAAATTTTTGATATCTCTCATGGGAAGCGAGATAGTTGAGCTCAAAGCCCTTGTATAGGGTGAGCTTAAATTAGAGAAAATACGGTAACTCTATTTCAAATGTCTTCAGTTACGTAAGTTTGGGATCTTCAAAAAGTTCCAAAACTTTCAGATAGAAAACGTTTCACCTAGAATTTGTATGTTTCAATCTCAAAACAATAAATTTCAGACGATCCCGACGAAAAGATCCGTCGGCCGTCGAATGGCATCCAAAACGCCACACTGCCAACGGGTGGACCTGTCATCGAAGAGCAAAAAGATCCAGCTAGAGAACAGTGGTCTGGAAAGGTATCTCACTCCCCAGTGGATAGTCTTAACCAATCCGTTCTAACTTTTCTTTTTCCAGCTAGATTTCCTGCTCTCCGTTGTTGGGTTTGCAGTAGATCTGGGTAATATCTGGCGATTCCCATATCTCTGTTTCAAGAATGGTGGAGGTGTCTTTCTGATTCCTTACTCCATTATGGTCCTGCTCACTGGAGTTCCCTTGTTTTATATGGAGTTGTGTCTTGGTCAGTATTATAGAAAAGGAGCGATTACAACTTGGGGAAGGATCTGTCCACTTTTCAAAGGAATCGGATACTGTGTTATCCTTACTGCATTCTATGTTGACTTCTTCTACAATGTTATTCTTGCATGGGGACTTCATTATCTTTACACTTCGTTTAGTTTCAACCTTCCATGGGCTTCCTGTAATAACACTTACAATTCGGCCGCTTGTTATGAACCACACTGGTCTGAAGATGGTACCACAATGTGTCGGAGTGCCAACGAATCTGTCTCTGCTGAAAAGATATCTGCTGCTGAAGAATACTTCTAGTGAGTTTCCAAAATTTTTCCAGCATAGCCAGCTTCCAATTTCAGCAAGGGATTCTTGGGTCTCCACGAAGCCAATGCTCCAAACTCCCACGTCATCAGAAGTATGACAGATCTTGGAGGTGTCCGTTGGGATATCGCTCTCTCCCTGTTCGTTGTCTACCTAATCTGTTACTTCTCAATGTGGAAAGGAATTCATACTTCTGGAAAGGTTGTCTGGTTTACTGCTCTGTTTCCATATGTGGTCTTGGGAATTTTGTTTATTCGCGGAGTGACTCTTCCAGGATGGCAAAAAGGAATTGAGTACTATTTAAGACCTAATTTCGAAATGTTGAGAGTAAGGCAAATAAAGGAAGATCTGAGAGAGAATATGTTATATTTTTCAGAAGCCAAGTGTCTGGCAAGATGCTGCTACTCAAGTGTTCTTCTCATTGGGTCCTGGATTTGGAGTTTTGATGGCATACTCATCGTATAATGATTTCCATAATAATGTTTATGTGTAAGTTGACAGGAACAATTTTCAGATGGAAACAAAAAATGAAAAAAGTCATTTTCCAGCGATGCCCTATTCACTTCCTTCATCAACTGTGCCACCTCATTCCTCTCTGGATTTGTGATCTTCTCTGTTCTGGGCTACATGTCCTGCAAATCCGGAAAACCAATCGAAGCAGTGGCTCAAGAGGGTCCTGGTCTCGTTTTCGTTGTCTACCCGGAAGCTCTATCTACAATGCCTTATGCTCCGTTTTGGTCGGTTCTCTTTTTCCTGATGCTTATGACTCTTGGTTTGGATTCTTCATTTGGAGGATCTGAAGCAATCATCACTGGTTTGTCAGACGAGTTTCCAATACTGAAGAAGAACCGTGAAATTTTTGTGGGATGTTTGTTCTCGTTCTATATGATCATCGGAACCGCAATGTGTACAGATGTATGGTCTAAAACCTGAGTTTTGAATTGAATTTGGTAATTAGAAATTTAGGGAGGAATTTTGATTATGGAATGGCTAATCATCTATGGTACCACTTGGGGTCTTCTGATTGCAGTCTTCTGTGAAGCGATGGTTATTGCCTATATTTATGGACTCCGCCAATTCGTTCGTGATGTCAAGGAAATGATGGGATTCCGTCCAGGAAATTACTGGAAGTTCTGTTGGAGTTGTGCAGCTCCTGCTATTCTTCTGGTAAGAGGTTCCTATTGATATTCAGCATTACAATAGATTTCAGTCCATGATCACTTCGAATTTCATCAACTACCAAGCGTTGACCTACCAAGACTACACTTATCCAACTGCTGCTAACGTGATAGGAATCATTTTTGCGCTTTCCGGCGCCTCGTTTATTCCGTTTGTAGGCATCTACAAATTTATTAATGCAAGGGGAAATACAATGGCTGAGGTGAGGATTTTTGAAAATTCGATTGGAGGTTCAAGAACTACTTTAAAACCTGTAATATAACGCCACCTGTAACAGAAGACCCCTCTAATTTAACGCCACCTTTAAGGGGTGATTGGAGGAAGCAAACAAAAATTTTAAAAGGAATCTAGACATTTTGCATAATTTTTGTGCATTTTGGTACACCGTTAATCAAGTAAAAAACTAATTTGTGTCACTTTGCATCATCCTAAAACACCTCTCCGAAAAATGTAACGCCATGACGCTATATTACAGGTTTTACGGTATGTTCGTCCAGTAGAGTACATCCACTTCTAGAAGCTCACAATCTGAATATACCGTAAAAACTCTAATAAGTAGAAGTCTCCAAACCATCAACGTGAAGCTAATATAACTTCATTTCCTGTGAATGATATCAAAAAGTGGTCCACTGAAAAAAAAATTTCATCAGATAATCAGACATATTTTCCGCCTAATCCTTTTTTTGATATCTTTCACAGGAAGCAAGATAAATTGGCTCAAAGTTGAAGATTAGGTGGCCCATTCTATGAGAGTGCTTGCAGTATATCGATTTCAAACCCCAAATTTCCAAAAATTTTCAGAAATGGGAACGAGTGACAATGCCCTATCGAAAGAGGCCAAACCAAACCGAGTACATTCCGATTCCAACTACCCAACCGCACTGTGACATTATGCTTTAAAAATAGAACTTTTTTCTCTTTTGTCACTTTTCTGACACACTTCTTAAATTCATCTTTTAAATCCTTGGTTTTCTCTTATCGTTTATACTTTCCAAAGTTACACTTTCATTCCCTTTTTTAGAATTTTCCGATGTTCTTCTTCTTTCTGATTTCCCCCTTTTTACACACTTTCCTCGTCTCTTCCCAAACACTTTTTCATTTTCACGTCTCCCATTTTTTCATTTTTCATTACAGTACAACAATCACCTAATAAAGTTTCCTGATCCCAAAAAAACCAAACAAAAAGGAATAAAATACACCTGAATACGGTAACCGGTCATAGCCATTTTTCTTATAGAATATTTAAGGTCCAATTGAAAGGCCCAATTGAAAGATTCGATTTTATATGCCTGCAACTCTCTTTTCCCCCATCGAACTGAAAATCAATAAACCTCGAGATTTACCTTGGTTATAATTTATGGACCATCTCGCCTTTCTCTGCGTCTTGTCTTCAGAATTCTTATTGACTGGAAAATTAGTCAATAGAATCCATCCTACACTTTCACCATTAATTGGACAATAACGATTTCTATTTAAAAATCCGTATTCTCTATATTCCGAACCATGAAATTCCCAACTTATCCATCTGTTGTCCGTAAAGAGATCCTGCTAGAAATGCAGATTCACGAGTTATTCCTCCTTTCTTTAACATCCAAAAATGCTCGAAAAATAGTCAGTACTAAAAAATTCAAATCGACTGGAACTTGTTTCGATTTCTCGAAATATTCTGGAATTTCAACATTGGTTTTCGAAGAATGGACCGAAGACATCGATGTGGTGAGGTGGGCGTTCAGAAAACCCCCAGTTTCAGAAGAGACTCTGAGCGCGGAAATTCTAAATATCCCAGGAATTGATTCGCCGTGCAGGTAAGCGTATTGTGGAAATGGATTAATGCAGTATTTTTTTCCAGAATCACTATATCTCCTTATTCTGGAATCCCAACTATTTGGTGTAGTTCTCGTCTCAAAAAAGTGTTTCCATCTTTCATTCATCGATATTTCTGTGGCCTATTCAATGTTCCAAGCGATGTTCAAATGGTGATGGATCTTAAGCATCTACACAGTTTACCCAACACCGAATTCGTGAAGAATGTGAGACTAATAGGATCTGAAACAAATGCGAAGCTTGTGAATTCTTTCTTTGGTGCCGTTCCCGTTTCATATTGTGCAATCTTAGACACTAAAATTCGTGGCGACTTGAATATGGATTCAAGTCTTCTCAAGGTTGAGAATATTTGTTTACGCAATGCACAAACTTTTAATATCGAACATCTTCTTCGATTCGAGGGAAAGCATGCATTTCTATCCCAGTCTCATTTGACGGTCCAAGAGATTGTTCGTTTTATCCAACACTGGATTGATGGATTTGGATTACAAAACTTGGAGACGCTCGTCATATTTTCACGAGCGGTAGATAACTTTTCTGAAAGCATTCCAGAAGAAATCGAATTGAAGCCATGGGATTCGGCGAAGAGACCATCCGGTTTTTATATAAGATCTGCGTGAGCGAATTTTCAGAATATTAACGATCCAAAGAATTTATTTTTACAGAATGCGTGATTTCATGGGATTGAGCCCTTTGCTTCAGGATTGCTCGGAAGCACAAGATGTTGAGAGAAATGAGGATGGATTATTGGCCACTGTATTGTTGGGTAACAACACTTTTATGTTCAACGTTTGGAGAGATACAGATCCGAAAGGTCCATTTCAAGGAGACAATGAATGGATTCGACGAAGAATTCGTTGATAACTTTGGATAAAAAATTATTTTGCTCATGAAAAAATCGATAACTTTGTGAAATTCTATACTTTTCGATAAAATAAGATTTAAATGATAGCACTTTGAAGTACTTCAAAATTATTTTCAAAAAATCTATAAAATTCGAGAAACCTGAAAAAGACGGCAATCATTTTAGAATACTTTAATGTTGAAAAATCCAGAGTGTATATAAACTGAACAAGTCAAATATTTATTTTTTATTCCGTTAATTTCAATTTCTATAAAAAGGAATTCTGAAAATATTTGGAATTTCCAGAAACTTCCAACATTTTGGAATATCAACATTGCATCTATAACTAGGACTATGACTAGGATTTTTGACTTTTTTCATAGACCAGGTACAATTTTCCAAATAATATAGTTTTTAGGTCTTCAAGAGCTTTTTTGTTTGTTTTTGACCAGAAGTTGGTTCGTTTTTGACCTGTTTTTCAACTGTTGTATGTCTGCTATTCACCAGCGTTCGAGCAGCTTTCCGTCCGTTTTTGGTCCGTCTTGATCCGTTTTTGACCATCTTCCGCCAGTTTTTGGGAATTAACCAACCCATTTTTGTGTTATTTTTGGACCGTGTTTGGTCCGTTTTTGGTCCGTTTCCAAATAGTTTTTGACAGAAAATTACAATACGTCAAAACAATCAACCGGAAAACTATTCCTCAAAATGAACAAATTTGCATACGAAAGCCAGAAGAAAAAGACGAACGGACGAAAAAGAACAATAATTTTCACACAGCCAACCAACACAAACATAATCCTTCACTTTTCAATATATAGATGTATTATTGGACAAATAGGCGCCGAAAAGTGAAGAATGGGAAATTGAGAGCTGGTATGGTATTATTTGTTATTTGGTGTCTCGGGTAGAAATACCTACAACTTCGTCCTAAATTGCACTCAACAGGGCGGGTTCCGTGTGAATTGGCTCACCGCCGCCTTTTGAGTGCTCATTCGTGAATTTCACTGATTTTGAATGCCACCGCCGCCTTTGATTTCTTTGGATGTTGAAGGTGTATTTTTTAAAACTAGAATTGCCACATTGAAGTCTATTGAAGGTACCTATTTCACTAAATTATTTGAGACGAATTGGAGAGAACAGTTGGATAGGGTGAGTTGGGGAAAATTGAATTTTGCCTTCGTGATGTCTAGAAACTCTGAATTTTCAATGGTTTTTGAGATACTGGAAATTTCGGAAAATGTAAAGAAATTTCGAGATTTTGAGTTCCAATTACCATATTTGCAGTAATAAAAGCCTATTCAAACTGTCAACTTTAAACTCAATTATCTCGATTTCTGTGGAAGATAGCAAAAATTTATCAAATGATGAAATGTAGCTGATAATATGAGAAATATTTTATCAGCCAACAAATTTTTGACACATCGCATAGGAAACGAGATAATTGAGCTCAAAGTGCACCTTTAGGGTGGGCTTCTACTCGGACGAATACGGTGTTAGAGCAATTACGGTACTAAATATTCTGGAAAATGCGAACGATATCTAGATTTAGAAATCTGAAACTGCCATTTGAATAAAAATAGAAGCTCTAAAGTTCTAGTCGTAAAATTGCCAACCTTCTATCAGTTGACAGATTTTTGATATCTTTTAATGGAACCGAGATAATTCAGCTCAAAAAGCACATTTAGGGTGTGCTTCTATTTGAGCAAATACAGTGGTCTTTTCTAGTTGATTCTCTTTCTCAGATTACGGTATCTTCTACGTCACAATTGACCCTGTTAGCCACTGTCTGACGTCACGGGTAGGCAGATTTCGTACCCGTCTACGTCACCAAAGTAGAGGCACACTTTACCACATCATTTGGACCCAACCATCTGTTCTTTCGATTACATTCAAATCATATTCCGTCCCTTTCTTCACACACCAAACAGTCCGTTGTCTACGTCATCAACCTTTTACCACCAACCCTCCGTCCTCTTATTTGACCCGAATTGTGTGACGTAGCAATGTCCACCATTTGGCGGATGGTGCGATCCATGACGTCACAGAAGTACCCGTTCTCACTGGGTGGACTTGGTGACGTAGTAGAAGGATTTGATTAATGATGGGGAAGAAACAGGGGAAGGGGAAAAGCAAGGGAAGAATTTGAAAGTTTTGCAGGATGGAAGACTCTTCATCGACCGTGATTCTTCTGTTTTCCCTGTCATCCTGAACTTTCTCAGGGATCATGACAAATGTCCGCTACCGAAGGATGAGTATCAGCTGATGAGAATTCTTCGGGAAGCTGTGTACTTCAAAATTGGACCACTACGAAACCTAATTGAGCACAAACTACGAGCATCTCCATCATGCACCTGTCCTCCAGAACTTCCATCAACCCCAATTCCAACACAGAAAGAGAATATTCCATTGCCTAGAAGCGTTCTTCTTTCAAAACCTCCTCCACCACCGCCACCTCTTCCATCACTGATTCAACCAAAGGATACTGTACAGATCCCGTTGAGAAAGCCACCGGTGGATAGAAGCTCGAAAAAGCTGAAAACGTCGGCGGATTCTATTAGCCTTCCCAGGAATTTCACGCATATCGCTCATGTTGGATGGAATGGTGCTTCTGTGCTTTTCGACAAGAAAATGACTGATGATCCGACGGTCAAGAAGATTTGTGATGCCGCTGCAGAAGCTGTTGACTTGAATGTAAGCTCTTTTTCATGGTGGTTTTTTCGGGACGCCGTCTGAATGCATTGAAAAGCGATTACCTTCTCAGGGAAATCGTTTCACGTCTAATTAGCTCTCATTAGAAAAACCACGGCTAATTAGGTGATTTGTACATCTAACTAGGAATGCCATATCTAAATAGATTGTAGTAGCAAAATTATAAAATAATCACATATAATATGGATCTAGTTAGATTCGGTACGGCCAGTCGATATTTGCGAATCTAGATAGATTTGTTTTTTTTCTAATGCGCGAATGAGCGAATCTAATTAGAAACTAGCTAGATTCGGCTAGCTCAAATTTATTTTTTTTTTCATCGTTTTTTCGTAGTTTGCCCGTATTTTCACAGTTTTTGAAATAAATTTTCTGGTCCTAAATTTCTCGGAATCGAGTCCATTGTTTATTGACATGGGTCCGCCCACAAAATGTATTTTTTCATGTTTAATGTCGTTATCTAAACCGATTTTAGAAATTTTGATGAAAATGAGATTGCAAGCTGATCTGGATTCCGTTTTTACCAAAAACTTCAATTCGATCGCAGAAATCGATAGTACTGTTCGAAAATTCGTCTTTAAATGACACAATTAAAAAGATTCAGTTTCCAAATATTCAACGTCTACGATCAGAAAAATTCGACGAATATTTGGGATTCGGAGCTGTCTGGAGCAAAGGTATCGACTTGTCATAGCGATATTTGGAAGGATCTCTATAATTCAAAAAAATACCAGCAAAGACATGACGACCTCAAAATTCGAAATATAGGCGGAAGCGAAGATTTCTACAAATTTAACAGGATAATTTAATAATTCCTCGATTGCCATTCTTAAATCTTTTTCTTAGTCTCCTCATTTGTTGTATTTTGCTTGTTTTTGTTGAATAAACCTTTTTATAATCCGAAAATTTTTCAAAAATCAATAAACTTTCAAAAAATAAGCAAATCTAATGAGGAAGCATCCTAATCTAACTAGACGACATGCGAATCTACCTAGGCGATATGCGAATCTAGCTAGCCGGCTTGCCGATCTGAAGCGGTTGCGTTAGAACATGGAATTAGCTAGTTTCACACCACCCTGAGCTTCCGAAGGCCGCCAGGCGCCGGCACGCGAATAGCGCCAGAGGTCCTCTTGGCGCAAAAAGGGATTTTTGATTTTTTGCTGAAATTTCAGTTTTTTTTTCAAATAATCCGTTTTTTCGCAATTTTTAAAAATTCTGGTTTATAGAAGTTGTAGAGCAGCTCGAATTGCATCGAAAATGAGTAAATTCTCAACATTTGGTCGTCTCCTTAACTCTATGTGCTCATTTTAAGAAAAATGTGACTTTTCGATGTACTTCTGAGTGCTTTTCAGCTTCTCAAACTTTGTTTTTTCACTTTTATTTCTTTTTATTGACTATTCCCAGCATGAACATAATTTTTCCAGGTTGTCATCGATCTTCAAATTACGTTTTTTTTCGATTTTTTCAACCAAAAAAGGAAGAATCATTAAAAGGAAGGAATTCGAGGTTAGTTAACAATAACAGACTCGTACTTCTCCGCCAAAATTATTTTCAGATCGAATTCAACTCGCGAACAACTAAAATTTAGCCAAAAGCGGACGTCCAGATCAGAACTTCAATAAAGCCAGCTGAGAAAAAACGATAAATCTCTTCTGGAAAATATCTTATAACAAAAACAATAAATTAGTATTGATTCCAGTTGTTTTTTTTGTGCGTTTCTTATGAGAAATTGCCTGAAATCAGTCAAATTGCAGAGCCGAAAAAGAAAACAAATAGACGGGTAGAATGCTCAAAAAGAGTTATTAAATGAATCGGTTCGGTAGGTAAAAACGAAAATAGTTTTCTGAACATGTGTATTAGACGATGGAGGAGCATTTAAAAAACCACAGAACTAAACTATTGAGAACTAATGAGTTTTGCCGTTTTTTATGTCCACTTTTTGTTGTTCGCGAGTTGAATTTGATCTGAAAATAATTTTGGCGGAGAAGTACGATTCTGTTATTGTTAACTAACCGCAAATTCCTTCTTATCAATGATTTTTCCTTTTTGGTTGAAAAAATCGAAGAAAAGTAGTTTAAAGATCGATTACAACCTGGAAAAATTATTTTCATGCTAGGAATAGTCGATACAAAGAAATAAAAGTGAAAAAAAAGAAGTTTGAGAAGCTGAAAAGCACTCAGGAGTACATCGAAAAGTCACATTTTTCTTAAAATGAGCACTTGGAAATAAGGAGAAAACTTCAAGAATTTACCCATTTGCGATGTATTTCGAACTGCTCTACAATTGCTATGAACCAGAATTTTAAAAAATTGCGAAAAAAACGGATTAATTTGGAAAAAACTGAAATTTTAGCAAAAAATCAAAAATCCTTTATTGCGCCAAGAGGACCCCTGGCGCGATTTGCGTGCGCAATATGACGCGCAACTGGTGACTTTTGGAAGCTCAGGGTGGTGAGTTTAGATTTAGTTAACTTCTAATTAGACGTGAAACGATTTCCCTGAGTTATTCTACAGGAAAATTAGCGTTGGTTTCGACGCGAAAGCTTTGAATTGAACTTCTGAATCGCTAATCAGCGGTGCCTGCATTTCATCAGTTGAAGTGCGGAAAAAAAGTATTATAAAAAACGCTCTGGAAGAAAAAAAAACCATTTTAAACACGATGGTTATGTTTTCAGGCGGTCTACAATGTCGTGAACAAAAATGAAGACGAAGAAAGCCATAGTGTCGAAGTTCTGATAACTGGAGGAGTAATGCAATCGAGGGATGGAACATCTCGTCACTAATGGGGTTATTCATGTAGCGAAAATATGTATTGAAATGCATTTCCGCGCCCTCGAAATTCAATGCATGAGCGTCGCGAAATGTATTTCAAAGCATTTCGCGACATATTATGCTTGTCTGAGAAAAAAAATTTTAGAGAGTATTTTTTGCAGTCTGAATACGGTAGCGATATCGAAGCGGATAGCCTAAACAGCACACAAACGGTGGAAACGCAGACACTTTTTCTCTGCGTCTCAACCTTTTTTTTCTCAGACAAGCATAATAACTGTAAATGCATTTCAATACATCGCGTGGCG